CTTTGGCAAACAGTTTTCAGTGAGACTACAATTTATGGACGACATTTGAGCGACGCTAGAGTGACTTTGAGAATGTCCATTTACTTACTAAGGTTAAATAAGGGCCATAAACCTGTATGAAGAATGAGATTTTTATTTATTTATTTCAACACATAAATATTGTTACAAGGGCGCACCAAATATATATACGCTACACAAAACAATGAGATTGGGAAGAGAGAAGAAAAAAGGTAAGGAGTGTAAAAGAACAAAAGAACAGTAACAACAAGATTAGTGTAGGGTAGTCTAATAATAATAATAATAACTATTATTATTATTATTATTATTATTATTATTATTATTATTATTATGGGGGAAACGGAAAGGTTCAACCAGAAGAAATCTTTCAGTTAAACAAGATGCAACCACTTTTTATGGAGAAAAAAAGGTTACAGCAGGATCGCTACTGGCTTCTATTCTGAGCCATATGTGATAGCGTCTCTAGCTACTGTGTCTCACTATCTGTCGAACCCCAACCAGGGAGTCGTGAAGGACCAACACAAGCCAGTCCTGTACAGCTTTCTTTTTTACCGCGACACCATGTCATACACTGACCACCTCTCCGCCTCTTCCAATCAGTCCCGGCGTCGGCAAATAATGCACGACGTAGAATTCTCTGGGACGACATTCGGAGAATATGTCCAAGACACCGAAGTCGGTGTTTCAAGATGGTGACACCAATTGGATTATCGTCACTGAGCCCGAACACAAGATGCCGAACCTCTGCATTACTAACATGGTGTTGCCACTGGATGTCATCAATCCTTCAGAGACAACGATGATCAAACACAGAGTCGCCTAACATCCTCAACTCGGAGAGACCAGGTTTCACAAGCATGGAGCGAAACTGCTCTCACCGACGCGTTGTAGATCCGACCTTTTACAGCCAGACCGGCATCACGAAGGCGCCAAAGATGGCCCAGATTGGCATAAGCCGCTCTGGCTTTCATTATACGTCCATTGATCTCATCACTCACGCCACCACCAGCACTTATGCAGCTACCTAGATACACGAACTTCTTGACTACTTCTGTCTGCTCACTACCCAGGGTGATTGTAGGATCAGGGTCCTGCCAGTCTTGTAGAAGTACTTTGCACTTCGAAGGTGCAAAGCACATTCCGTACCTACGGACATTGATTACCAACTGATTAAGTGCGGATTGCATGGCTTGGGCATTATCGCACAGTAAGACAATATCATCCGCATACTCAAGGTCGAGTAGTCTTTCTCCAGGCAACGGATTCACACAGCCATTACTTACATCCATCAGAGCTGTTTCCAGGTCATCGATAGCAAAGTTGAAGAGGAACGGTGAGATTGGGCAACTCTACCTAACCTCACTGTGTGAACGGAACAATGGAGAGAGGCGGTTGTATGTCCTCACTCTGCCGGAGGTGTTTGTATATAGGGCTTTTAAGATGTTAATAAACTTCTCAGCCACACCCTTCTGCAATACACTCCCAGAGAACAGTCCTGTCCAACGAATTGAAGACAGCCCTGATGTCAAGATACACTACGATTGTTGGCCTTTGATAAGTATGACAGTGTTCTAACGTTTGGTGGAGAGTGAAGATATGATCAATACATCCTCGACCAGAACGAAAACCAGCCTGCTCTTCGCGAGTCAGTCTTTCTCGGGTTTTGAACAACCTACGAAGTATGACGGAAGCCAATAATTTGGACGCAATCGGAAGTAGACTTATCCCTCGATAGTTGTTACAGAGACTGTATGAACCCTTTTTAAAGATAGGGACTGGGCCGGTGATTTGTAGCGCTCCAAGAGTTGGAGTTCTTTGTGGACTTCCGCCTCACTCGATGGATTAGTCGACACAGGCCTTGGAGGGCAGGACAGTCTGATCGATGTTGCCCGAGCAGCAGACCAGTTGAACTGCCCTTCGAAGAACTCTGCCCATCGTCCGAGACATCGATGGGTGTTAGTGATTGGCAAGCGACTTTACTCGTCATTTTCATGGCGTCATCCAAATGCAACCAGTGCTCATCTGTACTTTTCGGTGGGATGGTAGCTAGCCTAGAAGCTTGCTCGGTTCGATAGTTACTAGCAAGAGAAGTTGCAACCAACTTGCTGACATCAATCCGTTGGTGGCGGTCACTTCGTTGGCCACTGAAAAGTAAGGTAAGATTGGCGCAGACCAAGGCATGGTCAGAGTCCAGATAGGTACTTCAAAAGGAGCGGCAGTCTTGTACACAACCACGCCAGCGGTAGCTGATTGCGATGTGATCAATCTGAGTCCAGGCTTGATATGCAGAGGGAGGACGCCAGGTGGCACATCAGCGATGACTGTGCCAGTAGTTAGTGCTAGCCAGAAACAGGCTGTGGTCTTTGCACAGTTGCAGTAGACGGTCCCCATTATCTGACTTGTGGTCAACAATTCCCCATCAGTCACCTAGACGACTCTCTTCTGTGCCTAGACGCCCGACCTGAGCATTCAAGTCTCCAGCTAGTACTACCATATCTGTTGAACGCACTTTCTGTAAAAGAACTGTTAACTGATTGTAGAATTCATCGTTGATTGCGTCCGGGCTGCAATCTGTCGGAGCATAGGCGGAGATGACGATAGACCATTGTTTCTCACACTGATTTCTTCTTACTTTGATAGGACTTTATAATTTGACAGCACATAACCGACTGTTAATGGGGATCCAATCGACTAGTGCTGCCTCAGTTGTAGCGCTTAGTGTGACACCAACGCCAGCAAAACTAGACAAAGATGCCACAGGGTCCCTGGATAAACGCACGTAAAACAAGCTTTTTGAAGCGACAGATGGAGAGCGAATTTGTAGTACTTTACTAGAGTCTTGAATACGGGTCTCGGATAGACAACAGACGTCGATATTAAAACTTTTTAAAGACATAGCCGACCTTATCTGTTGTCCGATCTGCATTAGTGTGCGAACGTTGAAGGCAGCCAATTTGAATGGTATATGTGGTTTCAGAAAAACTGCTCCAGTACTCATATTCGGTGGTAACATACAATTTTCAACCGGACAGTGACGCGAGAACGTTTAGCCAGAGTCGAATTCCCACCAAAGACGAGCCGCTGTATAAGTATAAAAGAGGGTGAATAATGTGGTAAATAATCGTGATAATAATAATAATAATAATTGTAATAATAATAATCATTTGAATCATTTGATCGTTAGTTGAAGCAAGTAAAGTAGTTCCCATAATTATAGGCAGTTCATCATATTTGTGTGTGGGCTGTGATACTGCCCGGGTGCCCAAACCGAAGCAGGTGGTTTTCTTAGGGGGTCACACCTGGAGCCTTTGACCTACAGGTCTAACCCACAAGGCAGTGGAGCATCGTAAGGAGATGCAGTCCCATGTTAGCCGGTGACCGACGATTGGTTCATACGCCATTTGTCCCCTCAGGGTACTGGAGCCCATGTGCACCATTGGTTTGGAATCAAGATTTTCCAGCTCCCCTTGTTAGACCCAACCTGGTTAATGCGACGAACATTCGCTTTTCGTCCTCTTAATTTCATAAACAACACCCCACCACGAGAAGTCAGTGAGTAGGACTTCTCTGGCAGAGACTGTGTACGCCTGATCATGTGAGAACATTTCGAGAGGGAGGGCGGGGCCTTCCCACTCTCGGCCATACCAGGGCATTTAGTGGCAATAAGGATTATAATTTACAGTTGATGGTTTCAGTTAGTTGAATTTAGGGTTTTCATCATGAACTGACGTTAGGTAAAATGCCAAAACGCTAGTTAGCTAAATCAGTCAGTCAGCTATAACGTAGGACCAGGCACATATATGCATCAGTCCAAGTTGCCATACCTCATTAACACAACAAGATGGACACCAGATTCATAAAAGTAGTTAATTTAAAGGTGGTAATATATAAAAGAAAGATTGTAGTAAGGATATAGTACAGGAAGAAAAAATTAGTTCATAGAAAGAAAGATATGAAGCAATTTTAATCTCTTAGTTTAAGGGAAGACAGAGAGTGTATCCACCGACGCCATTGTGATCGATTCTGAGCCGTCACCAAGAGTCTCCAACCATTGGTTACGATAGCCACGCGACCCCAACCAAGTAGTCTGCATCTACCAACATGGCTCAGACTAGAAGTTAGTGACTTCAAGCACTGATGCCACGTTTTGATTTGGCCGCCCCTAACTTTCTTCCAACCATCTCCAGCACCGGTTAGCATTGCACGTCGTGGTAATCGGTGTTCAGGCATACGTAACACGTGGCCCAACCATCTCAGTCGATGAAGATTCACAGCCTCATCAACTGATTTGCCATCATTCCCAACTCATTAGGGCTGATCAGACTTCCAAGATAAGTGAAGTTGTCAACGCGTTCGACTACTTCACTCCCTATCCTTAGTTCAGGTGTTGACGCAGGCCAGTCCTGAAGCAACAACTTGCATTTAGAGGGAGAGAAGCGCATTCCAAACATGTATGATTGATTCGCCTATAAATTAGTCTCATCTTTTAATTTTAATAAATTGTGGACTTCTTGAGGAATCACTGCGTTTGTTGATCTTAATTCGTACGTGAATTTCAGTTGGGATTACCGTCAACTCTACTGTGCTTTCAGTCACTCGATCACATGGATTCTGAAGAAAGCGAACAATGAAGAAATGGCTTCAACTTCAAAGTCAAATGAAGATTCCTCAGCTATTAATCCAGACGACAGTAATTCTCCTTTTTTTTAAAATATTCAGTTTGCTAACGTTTACATAGTTTTTTTATCAAAACCCTTGGGAACGTTAATAATGAGTTCCGTTCATTTTCGAGATTTTTCTCATCAATATTTACGTAAATTCACAGGTCTAACATATATAAACAGGTTTTTCAACTGATCTAATGTGAATCTATCCAGATTGTTTGGAGTTGGGATGGGTGCTTTAGCCGTCACCTCATATACCTGCAACAAAACTTTCTCGACATACCTGCTCGCAAATTTTTGTTGAATGCTGTCAATAGTTTGACTGGTAGTTTGCTCATTTATAAACATTTCTTAATATCTTAAAACAAGTTGTGCACTGTTCACTACAGTTTATTAATACTTCCAATTAACACGTCCTTCCAAACGATCTGTAATACTTACGGAGAAGATTCCTTAACAAGTTTAAATCATATTTGAGTTTTTATGTTGATATTTGAACGTCATAGAAAATCACTAAACCCCTGCATGAATAAACACTTCCTATATCTCTTGATATTACAATATGTATATATAAAATTACAAAATACAAAACAGCATGATCGCTTATCATTGTCACCTACAGTTACTAGAAAATTTTCTATAAATTTTCTCTTTGGTTCCAGTGTGTCATAATCTTTGTACCATACTGATTTGGGCCTGCACACAAGTCATTTGTCTTGGATTAAGGAATATATGCTCTATGTGGTGTATGGATCAGATTCTCCATGGTATTTTACTAGCCACATCGTTACTTGTTTTTGATTTCTCTGGCTGCTGTAATTTGGGGTATTGATTTGAAAAATTAGACAACTTTTTCGACAAACTTGTACTTTTATAAGTTCATAAAGAGAGAAAAATGTCTGATTAATGTTAAAAGATATGATGATGTGACTCATTGATCAAGCATGGGTTTTGTGTACTCGGCTTTAAGCCATACTTTGTATGAAGCTTACCAATTCCACTCAGATTTTCAGTCATAAGTGGCTAGAACCTGTTTATATTCGCGATCTGTTGGTTGAAAGTCTAATACTTTAATTGAAGTGGTTGGGACATGTGTCATGTATACCCGACCACAGCCTACCTTGATGAGTGATCCTTTTTTGATGTATAATATAGTGTAAATTTAGTATACAAATTTTATATCACAACAGAAGTGGAATAGTTGGATTGCGTAGAAAATTCCAGCGTGCTTGGTTATTTACTATTTCACATCATTCTGTGGTGAAATGACTCCACTTCTAGTCTGGTGTAAACGGAAAGTTGTACGTTATCAATCACATGAGATGTGTAGACCTTTTCTGCATAATAATAAAAATAATCATTATAGTTAAGAAAACCATGGAATCGTACTACTCGTCATAACAATTAGCGTCTACGCAGTTTACATTTTCTCAGGATTATTAATTAAAACTTTGCAACCAACTACAATTTTGATAAGTCTTTATCTGAAATTAATGAGACTTATGTTTATTATTTACATATATATGCCTAATAAGATTGTAGTACCTGTCTACTTCATAATTTGTAAAGTTTAATATGAAACATACTTCAAGCATTATTCATGTATTTACTGAAATATATACTTTTTGTTCTAACAGATTCCCTAAAGTGTATAACTGGACAACAGAACGTTACACCAAGTAGGTTTATTAAGAGTCAGCTAAAAACTGACGTTTCGGTTGGTTTTTCAAATTCAAACCTAACCGATGAAAAAAAATTGAAAGGATCCAGTAATACTCCACAAATATTTCTGAGTACTTCACTTCCATGTCTTTTTGAAAGTGAGTTTTAACGTACAGTTTTACAATAATCTTTAAGATTTTTCAACATAGTTTTGCATTTACCTAGTGAATAGTACATGTATGTTGTTTTCTGATATTTGCCAAATAGGTTCTTTTTGGGTAAGAGCTATTCGCGATATCTTCGGAGTGAATAAATAAACTTGCTTATGTAGTATAATCCTTTAAACGACTAACACTAGATGTTACCTGAAAAATTCGTTTTACTCCAACATAAAAGTTGGTTGTTTTAGAATAAAACCTTTATACTTAACCATGTGTACTTTTGCTATATGCAACATCTAAATCAACAACCGACCTGCTAATACGATCAAATGGTGAAAATTCGTACTCGTATAAATGCTGTTACGCTCTTAAAACACGTAAACATGCTAATAAGTAACTATGTTATTTAAAAGAATTAAGATCAGTAATAAGATTCATTGGTATTTGAACACTATCCACACCTATACACATTTTTAATAAACAGACGAACTACATTTTATCTTACGTATATTTATCTTTCTTCAGAGCCCAGAAATTCTCAATTTTTATATCTTATAGTGTAAACTATAGTTCTCAGTCATTTCTTGGAGTGATTTATGATATCGGTCTTATTACTCAGGGATTATAAAATGTTACGAAATATGCCAACTTTAAAGTATGGCTCATACCCAAGTACTTAGCGAATAAGTCCATTTTTTTCTTACCATTAGGTTACTTTTAATATCAATTACATTCCTGTATTTGAATTTATCGGGGTACAATAATTTTGTGACGTTCTGTTTTTTTATATCCATTTATTTGAAATTCTTCACAACTTAGAGGCGCTATATTAATAAATTTATACCCGAAACTGGTAAATCATTTCAATCTTCATATAACGTGCTACTTTACCGTAACAAGGTAATTTAATAGTGGTTTTCACAGTTCACATTACGAACTATTCTTAGTTCGACAACCACTAAGAATCAGAAACTACTAGATATCTGTTTCATCCCAATTTGGTACTCCACAGTTGTGTGCACCTATGATCCCAACGGGGACCGAATTCATAACCTTAGGGCCTGACGGCCAGTGCATAACTTTTATACCCGATGATATACATGTTTAACTTCGATTAGTTTTTGATATTGCCCAACCATCGTCGACTGTCGTGATCATGTGAGGCAGTTACCCACCGAGAGCAATGAAAGGTGTTTATGCAATATTGTGGACTAATTGAAATTATACATGTATATCAATGTGTGCTTTCTTAATGGTCCAAAGGTTATTCACTTGCTGTCAGACCTTAAGGTTTTGAATTCGGTCCCTTCTAGGGTCATGGGTGCACACTACTGGGGAGTCCCAAATTGGGACGAAACAGATATTTAGTGCTTCTTGATACTTAATGGTTGTTGAACTAAGATTAGTTCGTGATGGGAACTATGGAAATTCAACATCTGTATGAATTTCTATGGCAAAAGTGCATTTGTTGTCAAAATTTTTAATTTTTTTTATCTATGCAATTGCGTCTCGACCTATACTGTATGCTTTATTTTTGTTTCATATAAACCAAACATATTTACTATTTCTTCAGTCAAAAGGTTTTCATGAGTTTTTAGGTATCATTATCAAGGTTTCACTCGATAACTTCAATTTAATTGAGTATTGGGAGGATTGTTAACAGATATACTACTTTTATTACTAAAATATTAATTTTTTTGAGGTACTTGGGGAATGACTACTAAATAATGTTTGGTAGGTAGGTAGTATTTGTTGAAACTTCATTAGAACAATTTATTGTGTGTGTAGAGCTTGTGGTAAGTAGTTCAATGTGTTTGATTGAATTGTAAATGCGTATAGTGTCTATTTTTGTAAATATTTTTGTTTGGAATATTTCTATAGTTCATGTTAAATTAAATAAAAATCACAATTGAATATAAACTTTTTCCATAACATTTATACTTATAGTTCCCTTCCTATCGTTAAAGTATATACTGTTGTAAATGTGTATTCGATACTTGATTTTCTAAAAAGCTAAAAAAATCCACACAATATGTTTTTATAAATTACTGTTCTTCATCAATAACTCTTCAGAGCTTCGGAAAAATAACTCATGTATTGGTATTTCGGCTTGAACTATCAAATTTTTTCTTCTAGCGTTTAAGAATAGAATTTAGTTTGTCTTCATATGATTTTTTATTAATTTCGGTGAACATTTCTAATTGGTTAGAATTATATACTTTCGTTTGTAGCATTCACATGATTCCATTTTATTTTTCCCTTACTAGTCTTATTATGTTAGTTATCAGATAGTTGCTAGCGTTGAAATCGAATATTGATAAATGACCTGTCTATTACTTAATATTGAGTAATTTTTAATATGATATTATTGAGTTAAATCTCGTTCTTATGGTCTATAGTCACGTGACACTATGTGTATTGATTGATTCAACATCGTTGCTTTTAAGTGATATTACCTTTAGTATTGTGGGTTTTGTGACAGGTGTTGCCTTTTTGACAGGTATTTCAAGTAGCCTTCATAAATGATGACTTTTTGTTTTGTACATGCAAAAATTAATTGATCGTTATGTTAAATGAAATGGGAAACTAAACAAATATAAATAATTACTGATTTAAACCTGTTGGCCTTCTTGGGGCGTTTAATTAAGTGATCTTCTAGAAACTCTGTCTTGGGCTCTCTCCAGTTGTTACCGAGTTCTATTTATGCTCTAGATGTCTGCAACATGTGTTCGTTGGTCTGCTCATTTTTCTCTCGCCTTGAGAATTCCAGTTTAGGGATTGCCTTATGATACATTTTAGTGGTTCCCTCAAAGTGTGTCCTATTCACCTCCGGTATCTTTTCTCAGTTTCCTCCTCAGCTGAAAGCCAGTTTGTTTACTACCATAGTCGGTTATCACCAATGGTCTCTGGTCAGTGGTATCCTGCGTAGACAACTGTTCATAAATGCGTGTACGTTTTGGTGATGGTGGTAGTACTTCACGTTTCAGCTCCGTAGGATAGAACTGTTTAACATTTGTATGTACAGTTCTGAATTCCTTGTTGGCTGACTGCTTTGAGTTCCAGATGTTCTTTCATTGTAGGAATGCTCCCTTTGCTTTACTCAGATCTTTTTGACAGCAGCCTCTCATAAAACTGGCCTTGGTCGTCTTCGCTCCTATCATTGGTGGGAGAGCATCAATGCAACTCTTTGTGTGTGCGGGAAAATTTCTTTCGTAATCGGAATACAACATCGTTTCTGTCCATCTTGTGCAATGGGTTTTACTGATTCCAAGTACGGCAATGTTATATCTCATATCTGGTGCCATGTAGATGAGCTTTCAAGTCTCCCACATTGTTTGGACATTCCATGTAGCTGTATTAATTGTCGCTCCCCATTAGGATGACTTCCGAACAATGTAAATTATTGGTTTCTGTTGTCTCTGGAATAATCGTTGAGGGAACTCAAGTTTCTGGAAGCTTCTAGGACTTGTGCTGTATTAAATATCTTCGATATACTAGTCGGTTTAAGAGTATCATGAAATAATTCAGGTTAATTGTAATGATACTTACCAACTCTCCATCGATTATTTAAAGGATGTTTCGAATTTTTTGAGGTCCAGGGGACTCATTTATTAGTTAGAGACTGAATAGTTGATAATCAGTCTTACTAGTACATATGTATCTATTCCCCATTTTTTTCTAAGTAGCAAATACCATTTATCATTTTGTATCTTTCTGTGCAGTACCAATCTTTATTTTTTCCTCATGTTTTTTAATACTGTTACTACTAGTGTCATAAAACTTTAATTCTTGTTTTCATTGGTTTTATCTTGAATTTAAACTGACAAACTATTGTATGAATTTCTGGTCTAATTTTATACTTATTTTTATCAGACCTAAACATATAAAGTGTAATTAACTCCCTGACTTCATTATTATTCACCTGAAAGTTTGAAACATTCAACAAGTTTACTGAAGGTGACTTATATTTATGTATTTGAAGCTACTTCATCTGTTTTAATGTATTTGCATAAATTTTCACTAGTTTGTATTTAGTTTGTTTTAATTTATGAATAAAACCAAATTTATCTTCGAATCATTTAGAAATTGTATCAAAACTACGCAAACGTACATGTAAATAATATTTACAATCGATCTACCGTGAATTTTATGTTTAGTCGCCCTTACCTAGGGTCCATATTAAAAAAAACATGTTTGGATTCATTGTATATTACTCTTGTTTCGTATTTGATTTTCAAGAACAATTATTTCTAGTAATAATGACTGCTTGAAAATGTTTTTATTATCTTTATGTCTATAATCGCGTATGATTTTCGTAAAAACAACATATTTATCATGAAATTATGCTTAAGATCCAGAAATCTTAACTAGGCTCAAAATGGACTAAAGCTTCTGTATAGTTTTTTTAAACCTTGTTGAACTGATATTAGTTTATGAACGCGACAATGTTTACTAAGTTTTTACTTTACACAGAAAAATAGTCCAGTAAGTTTTCTCTAGACTCCAATAATTCGTTTCATGAAATAAGTTTAACCCATGGTATTTTTAATTTCAGTAGTGCAGTGAGTGATGTAATACATTATTTTTGATTGAATCCGATATTTGTAGATAATAAACACATAGTGATGCATATGAATAGTTAAATCCAAGCTAAAATGTGCTGTAAACTGGATTTGTAACGGTTTCATTTCGACATCATTCTCTATGCTACTCGTAATATTGAAGCTTAAAGATAGTTCTATAGCCTACAGTAGTTTTGATAAAGAATGGGTTATATTATTAATAAACGTATGAAAATTCATAGACAAAGTTTCTAGAGTGTTGTATTTGGACGGTGTTTGGTTGACTATTGTTTCGAATAAACTTGGGACTTTGTTAATTGCTTTATTTCCAGTTCTAAGGTTAAATACTTAGAATCGAAAACCCCTACAATTCTCATGACGAGAAGTAAAAACATCAAACATTAATGTGGATGAAGCTTTATCGACCCTCTAGAAATACGTTGTTAGTGTTGCAACTGCAAACATATCTTGATACTTCAACGGGAAAATGGTAAATCGGATAACACAAATAAGAACAGGAAGATTGTAGATGAGAATTTATATTATACCTTAAATAAATCAAAATAATTGATGAACACTAATTTTTATATGACGTATTTACTATGATTAACAGCTAGGTTTGTATTAATTGAACTGAACGGTGTGTAACATTAATTAATTGATTAATAATTTACTGAATAAACGTAAATATACAATGTCATAAAATTAACAACCCATACTCAACGGATATGACTAGAATAATTACTCTTTAAAATGTGATTGAGAAAATAATTGATTGTTGTTTGTTTATCTCAGTCAAATCATTTATATCTTTTCTCATTATATCATAAAGGATTTTGACGAAACTAATATACGTTTTATATTGAATCAAATTTATTCTGGTTATCGCAGTATATTTCCTATAAATCTATTTCACTTTAATATCCATCTTACAGAACTTTCACTTCTCTTTTTAATTACCCACAGATCCTTTGAGCTTGAACTCGATTTCTAAATCTCTTCCTGTTTTATATCAAATCAATAATCATACTGTACATTCAGAGAATGAATTGTCGGTACATATTAAGGACAAAAATGAGAGTATATTTATTCAACCTGACAACTCGCCAAAAAATATTCATTTAACTAAATCTGATTCAAATGAATCGTTGAACCATTTAAATACAATGGAATTAATAAGTAATTTAAACACTTCTATAAATAATAATAAATCTAATTGTCTACCTATAATTGAACCGAATAAATTACTTAATAACATACCAAACACATCAAATGTTGATTCATTATTAATTAAAGAATTAGAAAATTCTATATATCATATTAAATGGATTAAATTTAATAATCAAACACGTCCAATTATAACACAAAATAACAATGGTCCATGCCCAATGATTGCCATAGCAAATGTACTTTTATTACGTGGAACAATTAATTTATCAAATGATAGTGAATTAATCAGTGGTAATCGTTTATTGGCTATCCTTAGTGAACTACTTTTATCGAAAGCTCCTAATGTAAGTTTTATAACCAAATTTTGAAAGGCAACACATTATTTGTAAATGCTTTGTATTAGATTGATTAATAAATAATTATTTTATGTTTCGGTCATATATATGAGTGATTGTTTTTTATTCAATAAATATTGAAGTGTTATAGGTTTGTGCAACATTCATATCACAGAAGAATGAATCATGTTAGATCAAAAGGTAATTAAGGTTTAAAAGAATATTTCATGAGTGTTGTTGCTTTTCTATTATACAGATTTATAAGTTTATAGAACATATAATTTATGAAAATACTACTTTATCTAGTTAAGGGAAAATTTCTGATGAAAAGCTAAACAGAATTTTTAAACAATACTGAATAAATTGTTAACTAAATCAACATCTGTAAAATGCCAAAATTTAGTACGTTCTCATTTAACTTTTTGACTGGTCGGGTAATCAATCAGAATCGAAAAAGAACTATTTTCAACTTTTCTGCACAAAATTCAGAAAAAAAGAATGACTTTTATTTTGTATCACATAAAAAGTGTACTAAGCAAAATACATTTTTATAGTACTTGGAACGTTTGAAATATTTAGAAAGACTATTTTTTGCATCATCATCAAGTCAAAATGATAATGCTAAATGTGTCACATGATCAATTTTATGTTGTGGGTTGTATGTAACACGTAAATCAATGAGTTTCTGTCTCAATTTACGTTGTTCTTAGTAAACCGTAAAACAAATCTCTATATGAACAGTTCTCTGGCTAATTGGCTTGGTGGTACAGAGAAAATGCTAATATAGATAACGGTTTGCTCAGATGATTCCCTACATATCTTTGTCTTCTTACTACAGTTCTATAGCTCTCCAGCGGATTTTTATTGATTAATTTTTTTTAGCAATGTTGAACTTTATTGTTGGGTATAAAAAGTATTTAGAAACAAACCTTTAGTATGAATATACTGAGACGCAGATGAATGATGTTATTTAGTGATATTTCTACAATATTAAAATCGGAATACTGATTATAAGCCTTGACAGATGGAGAACTAGATATATAGGATATGCTTATTTTCCCCATTTGTCAAAATATTTTGTTAGTGTAAGCAACGATAAAGGTCTTTCCGAAATCTTTTAGTGTAATATACGTCAGTAGTCGACTTTTGTGTAAAACTAGTTAAACTACCCTACATAGTATAAAAGCATGTGAATACCACAAAAATATTGGTATTCATTCTGATGTTTATTTCTTAGATGGTTTCGATTTCAACGTGTATTTTGCATTGATGCAGTACCGGCATTTTTTAAACTGGATATTTGAACTGCGTCCACCTTGGATGTTCTGTTCTTCATATAACTGACTAACTTGAATGTATTGTTAAAAATCAGTATGCTATCCAGCTTTTAAATTGAATTCTTTTTTTAAAAAAACAAATTCATAGGATCTTGATTACGACCAACAAATTAATTATGAGTCGAATTTCCGTGATGTACTTTGCTTATTTCCCAGTTTACAAACTGGACTTGATATAAATATCAGGTTTACTGGGTGAGTAGACTATTTGTTATAGTAATAATAATAATACTATTTTTATTTACTAGTTTTATCTTCATTTATGCTAAGGAAATTGAGTAACTAGGTAACAATAAGCATCACCTTTTCATTAAATTTACTATCGGTAAACTGATGGCTGGTTACAAATCCACATTTACAATTAAGTATGCTGAAAAAAGGTTATACAGTTCCACTAATTGATTAGATATTACCGAACTCTCTAAAATATGTAGTGGAAATTTGGATTTATTAAAGTTAGTTTTGAATATATGAAATTTTCTATAGGTTACAATTTTACTAATCATTTTACCTAATGACTACTTAAACATTTCATTTAATCCTCCTTTTAATAATCCTATCGGCTAATATGTTCTTTATAAATAAGTAAATAAGACCTTAAGAAAAACTCCAGAAGTTCTATTAAGCAACTACTGTGACCGATAGAGCTTAACTATGTAGTGAATGTGACAGTTATCACCCACATCAATATTACGAATTAACTGAAGTTGGAAATATGGATCACTAGATTTTAAGTTCAGTAGTCGTCTTTAGTTAGCATCCTCAATGTAATGTCTGGAAGCGTTGAGTTTGGAACTTTTAGGGGAGGATTTTATGAAAAAGATTCTTGGATTGTCAAATGTATCAATCCAGTGCTATTCTATGGATGGATATACAACGATACCAAGTGACCGAGTGATATGGACTGCTCATAAGCATTTGAACTGAACTGATATTAGAGGACAAGTCAGTTGTTCAATTGAATAGGTTTTTCTTTTAACAAAATAACCCACTTATGTAATAGATATTAAACACAAAAATATTTATGATCAAAAGTAATTTAATAAATAATTGATAAAAGGATATGACATCCATAGGTTATTTACTATCCAATGCTATTAATACCTAATTATCAAGCTTAGTTCTTGCTGCATCATATCAAAAAACCTTTTAGGGTCGTGAATATACACTGCTGAGGAGTCCTACATTAGAATAAAATGACTGTCTAGTGCTCCTTAGTTTCTAATGATTGCTTAGCTAAATCCAATTTATGATGTACAATATATTTAAACAAGTATTTATTATAGAATTACAACTTTGTCTTGACTCTTTAACGTTAATCTGTGAATCCTAATAGCAAATTTAATCCACATGTGAAACTGTGATGGTGAGATGTTTTTCATTATTCTCAATCAATGTATATACTCTCTAAGCTTGAAGTACAAATTTTTACTTGTTTTATGAAGTTAACAAACTATCTGTTCTTAACAAATTTTTTTGTCTAAGAAAAATATTTTAAATCCTCAAACTAATTTACTTTTTTTGAAGATAGCACACCTCGAGGAAACCACTAACTTAATGGTTCATGTAAATAAATTGGTTTTTGGATGAAGTAACCCAACTTTAGTGGGTGGATGGAGTGAGCTATACAACAAGAAACTGTCAACCATTTTTAAAACGATCACTCTATTGTTTGATTTCTAGAGGTCAGAAATATTGACATAAATGATTCGAAATAATTCCAAAATTTATTAGATACTTTTAAACTTGGTTGATCGCTTTATTTCCGCATTACATACCAACTTGGTTAAATAAAATACAAACGGGATAGTGTTTCTCTAATTCTCATATTTAGGTTACTAAATTAATAATAATAATAATAACAATAATAATGTAACTCATTTATCAAGTAAATATTTGTATTCTCGACCCTTAGCCATACTTCGTAATTTTAACTAAACTATATTCTTTATCACGTACGATTATTGTTCATTAATTCACTGATTGTACTACACTCTCCTTCCTTTGTTCTGCACTATACTATCGATTAATTTATGTGACACACTTTTTGGTACCCTATTACACCGTAATTTGTGTGTATTAAATTAAATTAAAAAGTTTGAAAAATCCATATGGATTTATTTAGGGTACGATTGACTGGTCGTGCTCCCAGTTACATCAGTAATTAATAACCTTCACATTTCAGTTCGTAATGTGTATTGTCTAAAGCATATACTAATATTGAGTATAGTTGAACCTTATTTGTTAAGAAATAAGTGTCGAATATGTTTGTATTCAACTGTAAAGAAGGATCTTGTTCAGTGAGTTTAATAAAAATGTAGATTTGTAAAGAGTTTTTTGGCGAAGTAAATTATTAACTTAACATAGTCTGTGTTAAGTAGCTGTGTATAATAGCTATGACCAAACACTTCTTAATAGTTTGTTTTCACTTCTGAAAGATACTGAATGTGTAATACCGTTTATTGAGTAGTCCTTATACGTTACATTGTCTTTCAATTTTTGACAGACCACGCGCTCATTGATTTAAACACTTAACTTCTGACAACCACCTACTTAGATTAGCTTAACCGGATAGCATAATTAGTTTACAAGTGGTAGGTGTATTATCAATCAGAGTATCAGAATGTTTTAATAGTTACAATAAGTTCAACATGAGTTAAAACTAGAATTCACCGATTGTCACACTCAAGTGTTGAATCACATTGACTAATCTATCTGATAATAATAATCTTTGGATTTTGTTTTACTTGTGATTATTTGTTCCAGTTAATCTTTTAAGTATATTGTTATTTCATTACTTATTTTATAAGTGTTGCAGATTTTGAGTACACTCCAACATTAAGCTTATTTGATTTGTTCAACATACACATTTATCATGGTTGGCTTGTGGATCCTGATGAACATGATTTAGCTGCAACTGTTGGTAATCGAACTTATAATCAATTAACTGAAGAGTTACTCCGATTAGAATCATCTGATAATTATGAGGATTTAAAAAGAAGTAAGTGAGATATGTGTGTCATTTTTTCTATCATTCGATGTAGATAGAATGTAATTCTTTTTTGTATGGATGAATAATAATTCATATACTAGAAAGCGTTGATGTATAAATGAAAGAAGTATTCTCTTATGGTCAATAAATGTTGAGATCTCTGCTTCAATATATAAGAATATTGCTTGTGGTGTTTAACCCACTCTGTTTCACAGGAAAGTATCGATTGTTTGTTTACGTTTCTTGTAGTCGAGATAGTTTCATGAAATCAATATTTCATTGTATAATTGTGTATTTCACCCAAAAGAACAAATCATCTATACTATGTTTTTAAATTCTAATTTGTGACTGTAAAAAACATAACCGTATTACTGCAATTACTTTCTTTTTCTCTTCATATTTTCAAATATTATTGTACATATTATTTCGCTTTATGCCAAATTATTTGATTGTACAAAGGAAAATTTAATTTGATGGAATACTAGTTTGAGTGTTCATCTTTTAATTGACTTGTGAAATTATCTCGTTCAAGTTTCATTGAATATTTAAAGAACTTTCTTTGACGACTCGATAAACGTAATCCAATTATCATTATTCAGTTTCACAAATATTTCCATAGTGAATTGAATTTAACGTAACCTTAGTGAGTGAACGGATGTCCATATCTATATGGATAGTCGAACCCATGACCTTGAGATCTCATGAAAAGTCGATTGCCATTGCACCATTCCGTTTCAATTCATTGGTACACACTGTCCTACAGAATTTATGTTGGGATACAATGTGTCCGTCATCTAATGTTATCAGTTAGCGTCAACCTTTTAGATAACTTAGTTGACTCTGCAAGGTTATGATTTGCCACTCAAAATGCAGAGTATCCATTCCAAAGCTTCTCACTGATAAGCACTGGCTAATTACTTCATGAAATCGTCTAGAAAGATCCAGCTAGAATTATTTAGTTCTTTTTATTCCAATCCTTACCTATAAGTGTTACGTTACTGTTATCTGTTAAAAAGATTGGTTTAATACTACTCCAATGTAATAAAATATATAGGAAGTAATATTTTCTTTTTCATATTTAAACAATAGGTATACTTGTTGAATGGTTTCTAAATGAAAGCGGTTCACAGTTAACTTTTCATGGTCTAAGCCAGCTAGTTACAACTTTACACGATGAAGAATTGGCTGTGTTTTTTCGAAATAATCACTTTAACACCATATTAAAGCATAAGGTAAGATGTAAATCCATTGTTTTAGATATGTGAATGGCCTCATGTTAGCTTGGCTTGGTTAAATCTCGTGACTGATATTTCATCATACATATATCGATTTCGAAAATTGTTTCTAGTCATGTGTCACATTCCATTGTATAAAAGAGAGCAAATGATGAAAATCTCTATCGATCGACATGCACTAAGATTTAGTATGATATGATTGAGTAATAACTATGCACTATTCGAAACTAAATGAATACCAGAATATGTAGCTACTAATTAATTTTCAGATGGGACGAATCAGTTACTTGGAGATCAAAATAACTATTAAACGAAGATTGTTAAATATCATTTTTATAAATAACCAGCTGTGAATATATTGCATGTGGAACTCATTGGTTATCCTATGAATTCAAGTCGGCGAAACTACTGGTGGTTTATTGGTCGGAACAGTGGATCGATGGCTCAGTGGTTAAGGCGTCCAACTTTCAACATTGTTAAGCCTGGATTCAAATCACGCTCCATCTGCTTCTGTTCAGGAAACAGCATAGTACCACTTGCCCTCACACTTAGAGGATGGCTCATACCCAAAGTATTTGATGAACTAGTTAATCTGATTTAATTGATTTGGTTAAAGTAATCGACCTCAATCTATGGGTTTCAACCTGGACACACATATAAAAAGCGCTAGGTGCTATGATGGACTACTGCCCTTAGCACAAATTTCTTGTTGCAATTACAGCCGCATAAAAATGCAAATAACTACACATTTGCATCTAAAAGTTTAAAATTCATAACTCGAACTCATTTAATATCAACAATATTTCCTTATTGTCGTGTTTTTTCCTTATCAAACGCTTGTAGTGTGCGTCTATAAAATTGTGTAAAGTCTAACATTCTTGAATATATATATATATATATATATATATATATATATATATATATATATATATGACCATATCATTTCTACGCGAATTGTAAAATTCACTCATTCTGTTAAGTTTTACAGTTTGCATGATATATTACGCCCAACCGCAAAAAAATGTCGTTAAGACACTATCAAATGAGACTTTCATCAGTAATCATTTGCTCAATCAAATTAGATTTTTGAAAAATGAAGACAACTCAGCCAAGATTTTATTTTCCATGATTTAATTAATATTATTAACAAAATAAAAGTAAAAAATAATCTATGATCAAATGTCCTCATGACCTTGTTTTCTTTTAGAAATGGGCTTAATTATTGGTTATTGTCCTTCAATGTTATGCATGTTTATTAATTTGTTGCTCAGGGTTCCGTAATAATATATTTATAAGAGTACTCAACATCTGAGACCACCCACCATTTTGTAATTTTTGTGTAGTAGATACGTAATGTAGTTTTAGACAAAAGGAATAGATTTTTTTATACCACTTTCAGTTATCTCGGCTGTATGTAAGATGCGAAATCAAGAGGCATACGATAAATTGGGTTGAACACAGCTGTTAGCTTTGAGTATTTTCAGTTTAATGACTGGTATAAAGCGACTAAATTTACACTTCTAGAACTTCTTATTTTTTCTCTGTCGTTTACTCAGTTATAAATGAGGACTTTCAGAAATGTGATGATGAACTCACCTTATATTATATTATGTGACCAATGTAACTTGCTCCACAAAAATAGTCGAATAAATAAATACAGAAATATGTTTTATTACAAACTTTGGTGGATATCCATCTTGACTAAGTAAGCAGATCACAAATAATTTTGAGTTCCTTTCCGAAATTCTTGTCCAAGCAATTTAATTTAATGCTGACAACCAAACACTTAGATTGTGTTGTAGTGAATGCTGAATCGTAATAAATGGATTTAAATGTCGTTTTATTATTTAATATGGTCTTCTTTTTAATAGAAAATCGAGAAGCGAAACGATGCCACTTTTTTCCTCTTTCATTAGAAAATTTGACTGATGAACTGTAGTAAATTTATCCAGTCAATGTGTGATAGCTCATACTTGTTTTTCAAAACTAGCAATGTATCGTTCATACAGAGATAAAAAGACAGAGTTTACTGATAACCTAAACAGGTTTTCTAGCATTTACTTAGAAATTTACTTATTCATTGATTCGAATCTTCAATCCAATATCTCAGTTTTCATTCTTTATAAACTCTATAGTATAATATAATCAGATATTGTTATATCTTCCATACACAATCAATACATCATAGAAATTTCTTCTTGCTCAAACTTTTAATAATAAATATAAACACAACAAATGGTCACTTGTAATCTTGATTCATGATATTTTCATTGAAATAAGTTTGATACAATCTTCCTCATTGATAAATTTGACTAAAACGAGAAAAACGAACGTAGAAAAATAATGTGAATTTATAAATTACGCGGTATCTCATCAACTGCTTCACTCGTAAGGAATAATAATATTGATTAATTGAAACTAATCGACTTAATTCATATAATCTTAATTGAATAAAGGCTACAAATATGGACGAATTATAAGAATGTTTAAATATTTACCTGCTAATTTATATAGAAGTTTTAAAGAACGTATTTTAAAAGTTCAGGATGACAAATTTGTTGAAAATAAAGATTGATGTCAAGTTGCGTAATAACATCTGTAGAGTTAGGTAGATAAACAGAGTGAAGTGAGTAAAGGTTTAAAAATGACGCAAAAATGCAGAAAATAAGTTATTGTTGGGAGGATCAAATAAAATATTGTATATAGAAGTTACACACGGTAGTGCGAGATGTACAACTGGATCTTTTTAAATGAGTGGTTTCCTTTCCAGTCCTTTAATAGCGATGCCCATAATGAGACCTAATGAATCCAAAGTTGTGTGAGTATTGATTATTTTTGTAATAAAATTATGTACACTAACAATCAGTACGAGCAATTGCATTACTAAATCATTTTAGCATGTTTAGTCTCATTTGTTGTAGAATGTTCTGCGAGATGCGAAAAAAACTTTCTGTTCATTCTATGTTAATACTCTGGCATCTACAGGTAAACTGGTAATTACAGTTGGAACTAACATGAAGTTGGAAGTTATCTTCCTTTGTTTATCTCAGTGACCCATTTGTTTGATGCAAGGAGACTAGTATGGTGGCTGGATGCATTCTTTCCAATTCACCACTCAGTCTAAAACTAGTCGTGCCGCTTATTCCTTCACATTCTAGGCCAAATCGGAGGATGACGAGCTTTTATTCTATTGTAGTATATTCTTTTATGGTTAGCCATTATCTGGCAGATCCTTTTCAACTATAGTGCTCTAACCAAAGCTCTATTCAGGCCTATTGGACTATTTAAATTTGATTATAACCCACATAAAGCGTCTATTCAATAAATACGTGTTTTATCTGTTCGTTTGCACTGAGCAGAAGTGAAATTATTTACGTAACATATTGAAAATATTGAAGCTTCATAAATCGAATGAAAATATGACATTTTTGCCGTTAAAAAATTGTTATTTTCATAGTTGACATTGAATCGATCTTGCACAACCACTAGTTGTTTAACGATTATCAGTCAGTGATTTCAACTATGAAACTTCATCAATCTCCACAAACCCATATAGTGGGGAATGCTTTTTTAACGACAAACGATTTGACACATGCTACTGACAATTAACCTCCAAAAGAGGATAGCATATGTTGAACAGCTAAACAGAATTACAATCTTGTACAATTTGCTATATTTTTTATGCATAAAAATTCTCATCCTCCTCTTGGTACTAGTACTACATTACGTGTCGTGGTTGTAAATGTACTGTTTTTGTTGTTTTCTGTTCAACCATCTCATTAATTTGAATGAGTAAATATATACTACGTCTTTCTAAAATAGTAGGATATGACAGTAAAAATCTTAATACAACCAAGAAATCTCTAATTAATTGTTATTGTCTGAACTCTTTGCTTAAAAGTTCAAATGTCTTCCTACTTTTTGTCATTTTCGATATGTTGAAAGGTGTTTGTTAGTTTGTAGAGTTGATTCACGCCGAAAAAATTATGTGGGTACTATATAATTATGACAGTACAATAACTGTAAATCCAAGTTTTTTCTTAGTATGAATTAGAAATTCGTCAAAATTACAGACGCATCCAACTAATGATGAAATTGAATTTGTTTTAGAAGTAAGAATTTCAGAAGTAAATTCACATGACAAAGTTTTCGGAAAATAAATTTATTTTTGTATATATTAACTATTATATCAAGTTAAATGAATTTGTAGAAATTTCTTTAATTCGAAAATACTTTTCATAACGAATCGGCATCAGTTTAAAAACATTCTAAGTCAAAAAGCACTAAAAATCTGTCATTGTTTCATCCTAATTTGAAACGTTCTAACAATGAATACCTGTGTCTCCACACTGAATAGATTCTATGTACTCCTTGATATGCAGTCTTCTTTCAGTTAATAACTGTCTATATTCACATTAAGCATATAAATCTCCAAAAATCTATCAAAGTGACAATCTTTGCGAATAAACTCACGGAGTCCCAAGAGGTTAGTGTCTTTTGAGATCAACCATATCGGAATGGGGCGATCACTCCCTGATACCATTTTATGATTGCTCTACATCGTAAGTTAACTGTCGTTAAAAAGTGTATATCGTTAGTTATCGTCTCTAACCTAGTATTGTCATACTTGTCTTCAGACCTGGAAATCCTATATATTTTTTGTAGTGTCACTGGTGCAACAAATCATTCAATCCAAACAGTTATTAGTACTTCCTGATTTCCAGTGAATCTCCAGCTGATGTTAGCCTATGATGAGAATTAAAATACCTCCTAATTATTGATTATTTCCTTCTCCACATCACTTTTATTACAACATAGCCTTACCACTCTAATTTATGCTACTATGACTCCATATTTAACTTGTCGTTTCCAGGAAATATTCTCCAAACGTAAAAGTATCGAGTATTTTACTTTTTCAGAGTTATGTGATTAGAATTATTGTATTTCTCAGGCAAAAAGCAACTGATTAATGATAGTAATTTTTTTTGGAAATCATATTTCTTTTAGGATTCAATATTCGTATTAGTCACAGATATGGGTCTTCTCAACGAACCAAATATTGTTTGGGAGTTATTAAATGATTTAGATGGTGATACACAATTTGTTGATTGTTCATTTCAATTATTTTGTCCAACAACATCTGATTCATCGATTCGAAAGACATCTGATGCTGTTCGTGTTATTACAATTAAATCGGATAAATTGGATTCGAAATCTAGAACCGATTGTAAAAGTACTACTAATAGTAATAACAGTAAAGATAATTTTGTCGAAAAACAATACTATCCTGATTCCATACCTGTGTATAATCTCAGTGAGAGTAATTCGACTTCATTAGAGTGAGTGCTTTTGATTTCATATGGAATTAAAACGACACAATATCGTTTTCAATCAGATTTTCATCAGGCTTTTAATCACTTTCGTACTTTTTAATTTTTAATTATCATGCTGATAGTTATTAAATCATGAATTGATTTTAGCTAGAACACCATTGAAAGCCAGGGAACACACAATAGCCGTTTCATCTTAGTATGGGGCTTCTCATCGGTGCACACGAATCCCAGGGCCTTCAGCCTCGGGTGCGAACTCTTAACATCTTTAGACACTATCTCAGTTGTTTAGGGGTTAAGCTTTTGTGTGCAAAACCAGTCCTGAGTCCAATTCCATGTTGCGGGTGGGCACTGTTGAGAAGTCCCACACTAGGACGAAAAAACCGTCCAGTGCTTCCAGGTTTTTGATACTTATCCAAATAACATCTGTTGCGTGATTTAATAGCTTTGAGGACTCCACAATTTCCATAAACCTAAACAGACTATCATGTTTATTTACGTAATCTATTTTGTGGTTATCATTGACTTACAAACCAACTGTCTTGATTGATTTAATATTTACACATAAATATTACTGCGCATTAGAGTAATAAGGCCTAATGAAAATCTTATTGAAAATAATATTGTTTGTCCAAATGTGTTATTCGAATTTAAAAGATAAGCATTTTTAATACATAGAATTATGTTTATTTGGGAATATTTATGCAATAATACAGATTTTTATTTTCAGTTGTGTAGTTTATAAAGAAAAGTAAACTTGTGCTGTCGTATAAGTTAAACTAGTAACTACTAAATCATTGATCTGTGAATCTATTAACTATTTTATTTATTGATAACAAACTGTTTTGGTTCAATTTGAGAAGATCGAAAGAGTATCCTACACAGAGTAGAATGATAATTTTGTAAAGGAGTGGAAAAAAGAGGAAGATTGTATAATCAAATAGTAAATGAAAAACAATTGTAACTGATATCATGTACAGTTCAATTAACAATTTAACGCAGATGCTGAAGGGGTCAAACGTTTTAAGGATTGATCAGAAATATTCTTGTTACCTTATTGGTATCCGATAGATTTGATATTATTTCCTTGAAGAAGTGCAAACTTGTTGGAATAGTTTGATTTTAATCACTGGAATTTAGGAAAATTTAATCTAATTTTATAATCATTTCTACATACTCAGCGCCAAACATCTACGAAAGTTTTTTGCTCAAATTGTGTTGCAAGTTCATGTTAACAATATTCCGTACTTTTACTCTAATGAATAATTATTAGAAGGATATTCAAATGATACTTTTCACATTTAACCTATGACTATATACATCGGAAATTGGGAATTATTTGTTCAGTTAACAGTGTAAGGACACACACCTACATTCAATTCGACGATTTTCTATTGTTGTTTTCGTAGTTTTCAGTCGTATTGAAAGTAATATCGATATACAGTCACTACACTTCGGTAAATTTTTAGCGTTAGTGTCAAACTTACTGCTATAAAATTCAGTTCTGAAGTTTGGGGATGAAGTTATGAGATGAGATGTTTGAGTTTACTTTCCATAGATAATGATGAGTGGTTTTGTGACAGATCATTTTTCGATTGTGTGACTGTAGATGGTACGATTGATTATCTGAGTTAATATGTGTTATATACTTGGCTGATAACTGTTCATGTAAAACCTAAATTATTGACTGAAGCCTCCGAAGTGCAGATACTGGAAGACAGGAAATGATATATTTCTACACTAAATGTACAGTATTAAAATTTATTTAAAAAAGTAAATGATTTTATAATTCTTACTAACCTATGGAATTAAGGCATGATTATCAAGTTTACATATTGCCCGTTATGTCAACTAGGATGTCCTAGTAGTGCAAGCGTAAAGCACAACAGTAAGAAGGAGGAATGTATTCATTTTGAGAAGTTACGAAGTACTCTTATAATAAGTTATACATAGCCTTCAATCTTCCATTTGCATCTTTCGGTGTGTTCTGTCATCCGAACCGTATTCTCGTCTGACCTCGAAGTGTTTTGCCAACTCCGTGATCTCAATGCACTGAAGCTCTTCACTCCATGTGACAGTTGTAGCAACTTCGACGTCATGTTCTTCTACACACTACCTACAGACAATCGTTTGAGTAGCGTTCATTACACAGATAGTAAATTTCCTGAATCTTAAAGCGTCCAGCAGAGTAGTTTATTATAGTCCACTTTATAAAATTATATCTTTTTTTAATTGTTCAATATAAAACTGAAATTTCCTATTAAAAAATTTTCGAAGTCGATAATAGTTTTTTTTCAATGAGTTAGATTTTAAGTAAATACCCTGGAACTAAGCACATTAATTCATTCTCCATCAATTTGTTTTCAATAATTTTCTTTTGTTACATTTTAGTTATGATTTATGCAAAATGCTTCAAGAAGAAGAAATCAGAGCTTCGAATCAAGATCCAGAAACATTTTGGAAATTATACAAATGAAATATTTACCTCAGTAAGTAGGAAAATACTAACTTAAAATAATTACTAATCAATTGTGAATAGTTTATGTTATTATATTGCATAAACGGCATTGCAATTTAGGACGTTCGTGTTGTTTTAGGGGTTAGGTTGAATTGGTTTGTTGGAAAAATTACTTTTTGATTAATTTGTATACTTTCATTACAGTTTAGTTTCTTTTAAATTCCTTATTACTCTAAGACATGATTCAAATAAACCTGTTTAGCTTTTTGCCTACTTTAATTTACCATGTATTCATTTATTGAATAAAAAACATCTTATGAAGTAGTAGTTTGTATGACAAGATATTCCATTTTGTATAGAATATGTTATTTGTAAGTATACGTACTACTGTTCATAATTCTTATTCCTATCAAGTGGAAGATTTGTTTTAATTTGGTGGTTGGACTTGACTTTCACGGTGGCATCATTTGAATGAGGATGTTACTACTTTTTTGTACACAGCTATTTATACGTACTAACTTATTCAAATGTTAGTCTGTTTATCTTCAAGTCGACCTTCATCATTATTAAATGATTGTCATAAGCAACGTAGAAGCAGGTAAGTGTGTTGGCTGTTCATGTTACCACATCCCATTAGTACAGCGTGATGAAATTGTAAAAGTAAGTACCAGAGTAGTAGAAGTACTAACAGTATCAGTAATAATAAAAAAATGTTCGAGAAGAAAAATATAAATTCGTGAAATGGAAAATACTTACAAAGTATTTAGGTAATTTAGAAATTTAAAATCTAATCGAAGACAAAAAGCAAATGTACCTGCGCTATTGTGAACGATTTTGAACCATATCACCCAAATTCTTTGAGTATTTGGTTAAGATAGTCGGGCAAACCCATTCGTTGATCGTAGGAAATCATTTCCAAATATGCTAAGTAATAAATGAAGCCATAATAAATATGATACCATTTTTCTATCGTAAGATTTTACTTCTATGTAAGAAAATATGACATCAACTTTCTTATTTGATCTTAAATGTGAAAAACTAGCACAGAATTTGCTTTCAGCTAGATTCTTTATTAATAAAGTGTATCGAATTTTCCAACCTACAACTGTCGTATTTTATCAGTCAGAAACGTAGAATAACAACATTCTCGTATGGTATATGGGTTAATCTGTATTGTATTTTTTTCATATGTCATTTTATTAACTCGTTTAGGTTCATTTAGTCGGTTTCGGACCACATTTTTTCATATAAGAACTAGTGATACTTGTTGAACTATGCAAATCAAGATAAATGGGTTCGACGGTCTGAACCTGTGTTAGTTATTATTATTAGTAGTAATGGTTTTATCCAGTATTATATGTTTAGTACAATATGGAATGCCATAACTTAAAAAAACGACAAGCTAAAACGTTTGTGCCAGATTAAACCAAGGAACTAATGTTATAATAAACTATCCGTTAATTTCATTCGGCAATAGACATTAAAAATGCATATTATGCTAATTAAATATCTTCAGTACTAATTAATAATGGGATTAGGTGAATGACTCATTAGACGTCCAACTTTCAGATCAACAGACTAGATTAATTGGGGATCGATCGCGAACCGACCAAATCGCGACACTACAGTTTAGCGTTGAACAATCAATTTAATGGAACTCATTTCTGTACATCAAATTCCTTGACTACGAGAAAGCGTTTGACAGCGTGGATAGGAGAACTTTATGAAACCTTCGACACTATAGTGTACCTGGTAAGATCGTCAACATCATACGGAATTCATACGACGGACTACACTGCAATGTCGTTCGTGGGAGCTAGCTCACAGATGCATCGGAAGTGAAGATCAGTGTCAGACAAGGTTGCTTCTACCTTCCTTTCTCTTCATTCTAATGGTTGACTGGATTATGAAGACCTCGACATCTGAGAGGAAGCACGGAATGCAATGAACAGGTTGGATACAACTAGACTATTTGGAATATGCAAATGACCTGGCCCTTCTATTCCATATACACCAACATATGCAGGTCAAGACAACAGGTGTAGCGGCAGCCTATGCATCGGTAGGCCTTAACATGCACAGGGGAAAATGCAAGATCCTCAAATAATACGCAAAGATTGACAACCTAATCACACTTGATGGAGAAGCTCTGGAAGAGATGGGGTCTTTCACTTGCCTGGGAAGCATCATCGATAAACAAGGAGGATCCGATGAAGATATAGAGGTAAGAATGGGAAAAACAAGGGCCATATTCCTACAGTTGAAGAACATATGGAACTCAAAACAATTATCTATGAGCCAACATCAAAGTGAGAATCTTCAATACGAGTGTCAAAACAGTTCTACTGTACGGAGCTGAAACTTGGAGAACTACTACAACCATCATCAAAAATGTACCAGTATTTCTAAACAATTGTCTATTTAAGATGCTCAATGTCCGTTGACTGGATGTTATCAGCAACAGCCTACTGTGGAAAAGAATAAACCCGTCTCGAGGAAATTAAGAAAAGACGTTGGAAGTGGATAGGACACATATGGAGGAAATCATCAAACTGCATCACGAGGCAGGCGCTAAATTGGAATCCTGAAGGGAAACGGAAAAGCGAAAGATAAAAAAGCACGTTTGTGAAGCTTATCGAATTCGAACGTCTGAAGAATGAATTTATTTATTTATTTTTTTATTATTATTAGCTTTATTCAATATTATGCTATTGGTACAATATAGAATTCTCAGCACAAAGTATTTCAACAAGTTTCCGTTTCTTTCTTCTTGGTCGGTCCGCGCGATAAATACTGAGTGATCGCCAGCTAGATGTTAACAGTCCAGTAAATGAATATCTGAATAATGCACATTCTTTTCGTTGTATATTGCCAGCAACAATATTCTCTCTTTTTGAGCTTTTTGTAACTTTGACAACGAAAGGTTGTACACTTTTCAGAAACGCAGCAGAATAGGTTGTGCGATTAATAGACATAATGATATATTAAAACAAACAAAGATAGATAACTTGTCGAAATATCTAGATGGCAGGAACAGGTAGCCCAGATGCTCAAGCAGGCCGCCTCAATCAGAAACAACTGGAAAGGAAATCTTAGGACAGAGTTGGTCGGAGAATGCTTGTGGGCAGTCTATGCTCCTCCACGAAGGTTAACAGGTGTAAGTAATCAAGTAATTTATAGCTTTCTCATTTTTATTAAATAAGTAATAAGAAGTACAATATAAATTTAAAGAAATTCCAACTAATTCTTTTGTTAGTTATGGAACGACAATATATTCTTTATCTCCATGCTTATAAATGTTCAATAAAATTTTACTATTATATTAATATTGTTTTCATTTTCTTTTTCTCACTCTCTTTTCCAACTTATTTACAGGCTTGTATTTGTTCTTCCTCTATACTTGACATTTTTTTTACGTGAATATCGTCATAGTGGTTAGTAGCCGTTCAATATGAATAATTAGTTGCTAACCAATAACATTCTCCTGAGAATTATCGATATATATATATATATATATATATATATATATATATATATATATATATATATATATATATGGATAAAACCTCAAATTGTAGAATACATCACAAAGACATTCGAAATCAGATTCATTTCGTATTGTTTTTTTTCATGACTGATTTATGTTGCTATTATTATTATTTTTATTATTATTTTTTGTTATAAATCTTCTTATACTTTATATATACGTAAATATTTCTCACTAGTTTAATCACCTACTAGTATTCATTATTAGTGCCAATTGCACAATAGTAACAATATGATGTGAATTTTGACGGTAATGATTATAAAAATAATTCTTGTTAAAAAACAATACCTCTTTCATTTATTATACTTATTACTCTCTGTTAAAGAACACTTATTTTCTTTTATATATTTGTTTCATTGATATCACTCTGAACATTTGGTTTTTTAGTTTTTATTTCAAGAGTCCATTTCTGTTTTGTGATAGTTGTTTACTCATAGATTTTTATTTTCTTTGTATCTTGTCGTTTTTCTCCCATCTCTTGCCTCTGCACATTTCTAGAAAAAAAAAGTGAAAAGACATGAACATTGCACAGAGTTATTGTGATGATTATTTTTATAAAACCTAAAAAAAATAAATTAAACATTCACTCTTTTCGTCTTTTCTAAACTTTCACTGCTGCTCATCTCTATTAAATGAAGGGGAAATTACAAAATATCAATTAGTGTATTGTTTTTTTTTTTAAAAATTCAATGTAGATCTTCCTATTTACTATCATTGTGTTGTGTTTTGTTTGATTTTTTTTTTCTAAATATTTATTAAACAATTTATAATTTGTTTATTTTCAACTATATATTCAACCACTTTTCTCTATCATCATGATAATAATGATGAAGATGATTAGTTTGTAAACTGATTTTGTTAACAATAAAATCAGTATGCATATATTCATCAGTATTATCTGGTTATGTGATTTGTTTTTTCTTCATTTGTTTCTCTTCTTTCCACATATTTACTCACATTACCCGTAAATGTAGATTTTTTACGAAAAAATCGTATCATTTTGTTTTCCCACTTTTTTTCTGTGTATATACACAATCATTACCATTATTGTGTGAAGTACATTACGTATATATAGACTACTTAGATATATGAATATATTGATAATGATAGTATCTACGTTATTTTTTTCTTTGTTTCCTTGTTGTTGGTTATTTGCATGGTTACTTATGTATTTTTTTCTTTTCAGAATAAACAGCATACTAAAGTATTGTTTTATTTCTCAATATGAATGAATTTTAGTACATTAAATAATGTTGTTTGTTGTATAGTTCATATTTTAATTTATTTGACCTATTAAGGTTTGTTATTGATTGTTGCCTTATGACTACTATTAGTACTATTCAGTGTTCAAAAGATGATCGATGGAATTATATTTGATGATCTTCAATATTATATAGTTAAAAATAAAATTGTTTAGTTAGGTAAGTGTACATGACATTAAACAACACTGCTCACGTACATCAATTTGGGCTCAGTATGAACACACATATACACGTAAATGTCTTCCGAAAGGTGTTCTATGTATTTATGTAATTAAGTGAGCTCGTGAAACAGAACGACCAATAAATTCGATGTTATATATATAAAATTATTTTCGTAAACAGATTAGGAAATAACATTTGTTTACTTGAACAACTTGTTATTATTTAACTTTTTAAAAAGTTTTCATCATGGAATGACATTAACTTTGTCCTTGTTAGAAGTTAAACTACATCTCCAGAATTAAAACAAGGATTTTTAGGTTTTGCATCCAGTAAAATACTTGTAAATCACTGAATCGGAATCCAGTCTTTTGTATTTTCATAGCTACAAAAGTATCATGTTCATCATATGACGCGACTGTATTACAGTCCGTGAATTAACACAATTGAGAAGTCCAAAATTGAATTGAAATAGTTGTTCAGCACACACTCTCCTATATACAGTCATTTTGAAGCTGATTTCATCAGTGATGAAAGGTAATTTTAAAAAAAATTAAGTTAAGTGCATTGCTACACTTTTATTGAAATGTATAATTTAAGGTAATTATTGGTAGATACCGAAACTATCTGAAATTATCCATATAAATCTTAGGATAAACTGTTTATTATTATCATATTGGTTGGATGCTTGTTTCATATCTTGCTCTTCATGTTACTGTAGCTTTATTAATCTTAACCTGTTATTGTCAATATCGTAATCATTCTGAAACTTTTTGGCTGGTTCTATTTAGAAAGCTTTATTGCACGCCAGTTTGTTTTTTCAACAGACTAGTCACATTTTTGTGAAATTATTTTTAAGTTAAGCACTTCTTTGTCCTAATTTTTAAAAGCATTTGAAATGATTGTAGTACTGGATTTTTAAAACTGTAACATTGATTGAACTTACTACTCAGTGTTCAACACGATAACTACTACTTTGTGTATATTACTTTTAAGCAGACTTCCAATGACCTGTTGTTTGTTTACATCTCCACTTTCTAGCCATAGAGAGTAACTTAGTTCTAGCATCCAGAAATTATAATATACACATGTCATTATCACTTAAAAAGCTTTTTTAGTCATTTTTTTCGATTTAAACGCATTTGTATGTATTTTACTAGATGTAGGGAAGTCACATCAGGAGGCCCACTTAGATATCAGTTTGGGGATGAAAATGTGAAAGATATATAAATATCTAATCGATCGTAAAGAAACAATTCATTCTGAAAAAGCCTGAAAAGATATCCAAACAACTTTAAATATAGTAATTATATCTATCGATAAATTAGTTCAAAAAGTTATGAAAGTCCAATAAGCATCTATTGAATTAATAAATTCTCAAAAATTATCCTGACAGGCTTGGGGGACGGTGAAGAGTGACAACTCAAAATCAAACTAACCAAGGGTTCATATAATAATTACGAGCATTGGTTGGGTAACGAAAGCAAAATAGATGGAACAAGTAGTGCAAAAGGTAACACTAAACAACTCTACTGACTGAACAAGCAAACAGGTATTAAAAAAACAGGTGTTAGTAAGGCTCTTTTAGAAAAGGACGGATCTACCATTCACTTTCAATCTATGAGATTAGATATATGGATGGAACACTTTAGGTAGCAGTTCGGCTGGTCTTAAGCTACCCTTCAGTTACCCCCAAATGCCCTGGTATGGCCAAGGTTGCGGAGGTTAGCTCTCCATCTCGCAATGCTCTCACATAGCCATGCATATACAGCCACTGCCAGGGAATTCCTACTCACTGCCTTCTCGTAGCGGGGGTGTTGTTTACGAAGTTGAAAGAACAAAAAGTGAGTGTTCGGCGCTTTAACCGGGTTTGTGGACTCAGAGGGTCCACCTAGGGTAGTTGGAAAACCCTGATTCCAAACTGACGGTGAACATAGGCTCCAGTATCGTGAGGGAACGAATGGCGTGTAAACCAATCGTTGGTCAGCGGCTACCATGGGACTGCATCTCCTGACGTTGCTCCGCTGCCTTGTGAATCAGACCTTTGGGTCGAAGGCTCAGGGTGTGGCCCCCTAAGAAAACCACCTGCTTCGGTCTGGGCACCCGGTCAGTATCACAGCCCACACACAAATCAAGTGACTTGTGTGGCGCATATGTATTCGGTGCCCCTATGTACCAATATTTATGTTTTCAAATAAATAAATATCCCCAATAAACTCCGATGATAAATTTACAAAAGTCCCTTAAATTACTGACCACCCACTATAATTGTATTCCTTGATAATAAGTCAGCATTTTACTCTGCCGACCAAGAGGTTATATGTCAATGTTTACCATTGGAATAGGTATATACACCTGATGTAAACTCTCTACCTAAATACTACTAGTCGAGTTATATCCTACTGATCATAGATGTCCCCTCAGAAAAATACTTTCGCTACCTAAATTTTCAGAGGCGACATCCCAGGATGTCCTCTTGCTGACTTAGAACACTCAGCTGACATAATTCTATTCAGCGAAAACGCTGATAAAAGGCAGAGTCTTCTGATTTTCGTAAATAATAACGTTAGCATGCTTAGGATGTGTTTTTCTCCCTTTAAATACAGAGTGCTACTTGAAGCATTTTCTGTTCCGACTGTCAAACTTATAATGGGAGTGAAGTAGCTGAGTTCTTTGACCGTTTCGTCCGCTCTGGCGGGTTTGTATCCAAAGAAGTCTTGGAACGAATTTAAAAAACCCTGTTGGTTCCTGCCAACGTACGTCATTTGTGGCTTAAGCATAATGTCTATTTCCCAATTAAAGGGCGTGTATACTGCTCTGTTCTCCCTTATGGCTTTGAAACATAGTCTATAGAAACTTGGGGTAATACACATCTGTGCTAGGTTCTGTGATGAGGACGTTTGTCTCTCTGCCAATGCATCATGTTACAAGTGTTTAATTATTTGTGAAATTAATGAAAAAAAAAGATATTTACTACTCAATCGACCAATAAAATACATCTAGACAATAAACTCCCAAACTCATTTCAATCTATATTGTTCGCTTTTTGCTGTGTCTTTTCTCTCAATAAACGTTGATTTTAATTGTACCTGTGATATTTATTGTTGTTCTCACAATTTTGGTAATTTTGTAACTCAGTTGACACTTTATGCCTTTGTTGGGTTAAGTGAAGTGTATTTAATAATTATTTTGAAATAATGTTTCCATAATTTCAATTTGAAACATTACTAAAATAATTTATATGTTTAAATCTTGACCATATTGTTTTTATCATTGGTCAGAATGATAATTCACTTCCTTGTAAGGTTCAGATTTTCAGTAAATGGTCATTATTATGAACTAGCAAAACAACTTTTTGGATGGTGTACATTTTCTATTAATTGACCTTCATATTCACAAATTTGTTTTATTTACTTATTTGAAATATTTAATTTCTGTAAGAATCTCAAGTTTTGTGTTGTTTTTATTTGAAAAATAGGTTTAATCTTTCAGTCTAAATACTGTTTATCATTGTTTGATTGAAAATATACTTTGAGGTGACAAAAACATGCATCAATTTATCTCAGATTAAACTGAAATCATGCTTCGTCTTTGTTCTCATATTCATATATCGTTTGATCGTTTCCGAGTATTTTCATGTAAACACTTTAACAAGTATATCCATTCTTCTATTCCTATTATATCTCAAAAGATAACTTCATTGTCTATTAACCAAACAGAGTATGCTAAGACGTTAGCAGATTCCTTAATTCAAGGTAATCGTTATAGTTTAGCAAGAGCAATTACACTTTTGGAATCTTCTAAAGCTGAACGTCGTGCTGAGGGTCAATATATTCTTGATACAGTAATAAAACATTTGGCGCAACAAGAACTAAAAACTGGAAAGTTTACATTCAGAATTGGTAAGTTAATTTTTTTGTACTATTCTATGATTCATTGCTTAAAAACATCCTGTATATTCATTCATATGTCAGCACATAAAGTCATTTAAATCGATGAAGGGGGTTGTCTAAATATAGTATCCTGATGTGAATTGCAGACGCTTGTTCAAACTTCCCTCCCAAAATCCTGTCTCACACGTAATAACTCAGTCCGGTAATTCTTGTATTTTTCTGTTTGAATTTCGCTTCACAGCTTTGGGTTTATATACTATGTTTTACTGTGGCCTACGGTAATTCCTAATTACGAACGGTTGGAATATTCTTCTAATACGAAACTTGATCTGCACGGACTCGATAGATCGGCCGACTGACGTACGACACTTCAACAATAATCATTAACGCGATGGGAGACAGAGATCATAGAAGTAAAAGAAATGCTTGATATACAAGAAGACAGTTTTATGATGTCGCAATTCTCCATATATCAACCGACAGAGCCCTTGGGATACAACAAAATTAGTAAACTAAAAGTGAGAACAAACAATTGAATTACAGGTTAATGTGGAGATATGAATTTGAAAAGTACTGTCGCGGTTATGTTTAAGAGAAATAACTCATTTAACAAAAAAACTAGATTAGTTGAGGTCTTACTAACGTTGTGTCATCTGAGTTGTATCACTAGTTGTCATGATGATTGTGACTTAATCCAGTTACATAAATAGGTAATTGGTTACATAGTTTTCAGTATGCAATGTACTTATAAGTAAATTTGCTAATTTCTCACATTTTGTTCTTCAGTAGTTTTATTTGCATATTTGACCAAAATATTTCCAACTTCCTAACTAATTTAGCTGCTTTTTTAATAAAAAATAATGTTTTGAGTTTTTGTGGTGTCACTATCATTATTATTCATTGACTTAAGGTGGTCAACTACTAACGTCTGTTACCAAGTGAAATTAACCTACATAATATCCTATGAAATTTCAATTTTATATACACTGAATGTCATTCTTAAACAATATACTTGTTAATTCTATCGAAGCGTCCAAGTAACCCCGATTGAGATACGCGCAAAGTCGAAGTTCCAAAACAACGATTTGTCTACAAAAGCGGTTCTTTATTAAATAATACACAAAATTTAGTTACAAACCTCAACTTGTGAGGTGTCTAGGCGTTTAAACGCGTCGTTCAAGAATGAAAATAGCAAAGGCTTCCTGTAGGAGTAACATAAAGAATGATTACAACATACGATAGTCCAAAGACAGCCGATAGCTGTGTCTAAATTTGATAACAGTTTATGAACAACCGAAACTCGAACCAAGAGCAAACAACATGGAAACTGTTGCCTTTAAACAAATGCATAAAACTGTGGATAACCGTTACAGCAATTAAATTACAGTGATTATAATGATAAATACAATGATAAGTAAAATAAACATTAAAGATATATGTGAACATTCCAGAATGTTACAGTACAACTTGAGTTACAACATTAGTGTGAAAATTGTTGGGCATACAGCTGCCTACTGAATGTAAATAAGTAGTATAAAACAACATACAAAAGAGTAGAAAAGGAGCATGTAGGAACAATATAAGACAAACTTAACACCGCCCTCCAAAGACAGCATGTCTTTCCTTACTTTCGCTGATTAGGTATTAACGTAAAAACGTTCAGAGGTGACAATGGTACGATTTACTCTAGCCACAGTCACTCTGAAAAGTCTCTCTATCCTCTACTTTTCGGTCGTCAGCTCCTTCTAATAAACAAATTTTACGTATGCCTCTAATAATTGTACCCTTCGACGTTCTGATCTTCGCTTGGTTCCATAGACCATCTCCTCCTGGGTCAAAACTTACCACGAGGCCTTTAGACCAGTTATTTCGTGCATAAGTGTCCTTAATAATCAAGACTGGACCGCGAACTTGTAAATCTCGTCTTCCTTGTGTCCATTTTGTTCGCGTCTGTAAGAGTGGTCTATCATTAGGTATTCTTTCTGCTTCATTCAAACAGGTGATGAGTGTCTCGTAGGACATAGATACTGCGCTCATAGGTCTGCGTATGCTTCCTATTAATCTTTCCCATATCCCTCCACGATGACTTGCGTAAGGGATGTTGTAGTGCCACTCTATATTCCGACGAATCATTTCCTTAGCTACCCTATTATCCTTAAAGTCTGGTAATAGAAGTTGTATCTCCTTCTCTAACCCAACGAAGGTGGTTCCTCTATCACTGTATATTTTCTTCGGTATTCCCCTGCGATTTGAGAAGCCAGACAACGCCATTAGAAAGGAATCGATTGATAAGGCACAAGCAACTTCTATATGAACTGCTCGGATGTTTAAACATGTAAATAGGCAACCGTAACACTTTCGAGATTTGCGTCCCTCTTTGATCATGATCGGGCCAAAATAATCTACTCCTGTCGTCGCGAACGGGAAGTTTGGTGTTATCCGTGTAGATGGTAAGTCTCCCATCAGTTGTGACGTCGGCCTGGCTGATCTAATGCGACAGCTTATACATTTATGTACGATCCTCTTGACTGCCACAGTGCCCTTTAAGATCCAATACTTTTTGCGCAAGGCAGATAGTGTGTGGTACACTCCCATGTGCCCCTCAGCTTGATGGTAGTAATGAATGATAAGCTCCGTTATAGGGTGTTTACTGGGTAGAATAATCGAGTGTTTCTGCTCTAATGGAAGGTCGCTATTATTTAGACGTCCTTCTACGCGAATCAGGTTGTCGATTACGATTGGACGTGACTTATTAACAACTTGATTCTTGGGCAAAATGCTTTCAGAATATTTGCGTCGCTTAATCCATTGCCTAAATTCCGTGAATTCTTGCTCTTGTACGTATTTTAATAAGTCTTCGGCATTTTCCAGTTCGTTAAGCATAAGGGGTCCACTTACAATCGTTTTATTGTAGAGGTATCGTTTGAATCTGGCAAGCCAAGCTGTACCTTGTTTAAGTTTAATCCATGACGAAAAATAGGATATAAATCTATCAAAGGGAAGAACTGTGGTCATGGTGTCCAAAGTTGTGGCGTTCTTTAACTCTAGCTCGACTGGGAAACTTAATATTTCTTTCCGTTTATACTCAGGCCATTTATTCTTTTCAGTCGCTAGAAACTCGTGACCTGAGAGCCAAGCTTCGATACAGTTAGAGTCATACTTACATATTCCTCTGGAAGCTAAATCAACAGGATTAATGGATGATGGTATATACTTCCATTGAGAGGGTCTAGTTCGCTCGTGAATGAAGTTAATTCTATTAGCTACATGTCTTGAAACGCGACGTCGTACTAAGGATGTAGTTTAATACTATCATAGAATCCGTCCAGAAGTAGAATTCAGTCAGGTCGTTCAACTTTATTTCTTCTACTATTTGCCTCATCAACTTCACTGACAGTACTGCGCCTTGTAGTTCAAGGCGAGGAACACTGACAAATTTTAAGGGTGCTATTCTAGATTTGCCCAGGATGAAGCTACATCTCGTTATACTTCTATCATATTGTACTCTCATATAGGCTACTGCTCCATAACCGCTTTCTGAAGCATCCGAAAACAGATGTAAAGAAATCTGCCCCTTATTGTACGATCCAATATTGAGACATCGTGGTATCCTTAGATCTCTGACACCTGCAACTGCTTCTAACCAAATTTCCCAACTCAATCGTGACTCTTCATCTATCATCTCATCCCACCCATAGTTTTTACGACATGGCTGTTGCAGAATTCGTTTAGGGGTAAGTGATAAAGGCGCTAGAAATCCAAGCGGATCTTATAACGATGATGCACATGATAGAATGCCTCTCTTAGTGATCGGGCGTTCGGAAAGATTTACGTCGAATGCAAAACAATCGGATTGCGTGTGCCAACAAAGTCCTAAAGTTCTCTGTATACGTTCTGTTGAACCTGGTATACGAACCAAATTGTTTGATCTATCACCTATAGGGACGTCATTCAGCGCTTCATTTACGTTACTAACCCATTTATGTAAACGAAAACCTCCAAGCGCCACGAGTCTTATTAGGTTATTTGCTAACTCGGCAGCTTCTGGTATTGTTTCTACTGAGACTAGACAATCATCTACATAAAAGTTTTCTCGTAAGGTGGACTGTGTTTTTTCATTAAACAAATCTCGATGGTCTGTAGCTGTACGTCTTAAAGCATAAGTAGCGCAAAACGGCGAGGACGTAGCCCCGAAAGGATGTGCATGCAACTCATAGACCTCAGAAGGAGAATCAAGAGTGCCATCGGGATACCATAAAAAGCTGAAGGCCCTTGTATCCTTTTCGGGTAGATGTACCTGGAGGAACATTTCTTCAATGTCTGCTGATAATCCAATCTTATGCTTTCTGAATCTAAGCAAAACTCCCACTAGGTCGTTTGTGAGATCTGGTCCAGAATATATACAATCACTTAGAGACCTGTTTTGTAACTTAGCAGCACAATCAAAGACTATTCGAACTTTACCTGGTTTTTAGGGTTAAATACGGGGTGATGTGGAATAAAATACATTTCTTCTTCAATAGCTTGTGTTACTCGAGACAAATATCCTTTACTTTCGTGGGTAGCTAATATAATAGTATACTGTTTCCGAAGCTGTTCGTCTTTTAGCAACCTCTTACGTAGGTAAATTAATCGTTTTTCTATTTCGCGCTTATTCCTTGGAAGTGAGTGCCAATCCACCTTCCAGGGTATCGGCACTTGATAATGTCCATCAAGCAATACTGTTTGTTTGTCAGTAATCTCCATAATGGTCTTATCACATAGGGACATGGTTTTCTTCTTCGGTAAGCTTACTGACATACATAGCGCCTTGACGCTATCTATCTGTGCTTTGAATTGCATTTCATCGCTCGAAAGTACATTGGTGTATCGGTGACTTGCCGTAACTACTGAAGTTTTATCCTCGGATCGCGACTCCGGCAACTCGGTGGTCTCCCTAGGTCTTCTCACTTTGTTTGAAGAGTTCGGAGTTAGCTCTAACAATCGCCTGCGTAGTTGGAGTTCTCTAATCTCCAGCTTAATCTTTTCTACTTCCCTTTCTCTAGAATCCACTTCGTCTTCTACGCTGTATCTAGTCTCTATATAGTTGTCTCCTACAGAGCAACTGTCTTTGGGGTTAGGTATAACAATATCAAAGGCAAGATTTAAAGGAATAGGTGAATTCACCTTAGAAACTGAAGGAATAATATTTTCAGTACTGCAATTGTCTGTGTCTTGGGAACTGTCGTCGTTGTACTTCATTCTTCTCCTTCTAGTCATCGTTGGGATGAATGAAGCAAACAGGATTCCGACCAAATTCGTTACAGAAAGTATTCCCTCCAATTAGGACCAAAGTTCAGAACTGTATCCACACCAAATGAGACCAAAGTTGAGAACTGTATCCACACCAAATCAAACCAAAGTTGAGAACTGTTAATTCTATCGAAGCGTCCAAGTAACCCCGATTGAGATACGCGCAAAGTCGAAGTTCCAAAACAACGATTTGTCTACAAAAGCGGTTCTTTATTAAATAATACACAAAATTTAGTTACAAACCTCAACTTGTGAGGTGTCTAGGCGTTTAAACGCGTCGTTCAAGAATGAAAATAGCAAAGGCTTCCTGTAGGAGTAACATAAAGAATGATTACAACATACGATAGTCCAAAGACAGCCGATAGCTGTGTCTAAATTTGATAACAGTTTATGAACAACCGAAACTCGAACCAAGAGCAAACAACATGGAAACTGTTGCCTTTAAACAAATGCATAAAACTGTGGATAACCGTTACAGCAATTAAATTACAGTGATTATAATGATAAATACAATGATAAGTAAAATAAACATTAAAGATATATGTGAACATTCCAGAATGTTACAGTACAACTTGAGTTACAACATTAGTGTGAAAATTGTTGGGCATACAGCTGCCTACTGAATGTAAATAAGTAGTATAAAACAACATACAAAAGAGTAGAAAAGGAGCATGTAGGAACAATATAAGACAAACTTAACAATACTACTTACCATTTTCAATTTGTTTCGAGATTAAGAGGTAATAATATAGTGGACCGAAAAGTATAAGTACAAAAATATTTATAAAGTTACTCAAAACGAATGTGCATATACAAGTCAACTGTATTAGTAAAGTCAAAATATGATGCTGGAACAAAAAGGCCGTTCAGTGCCTCCGTATTTTCAGTGGTTTTTTAACTTAGATCTGTTCGTTATCTTAAAGAAATCTCCACAACTCCGTACTGATAATTATCACGTGCACACTAGTGACTAGCTTCAAGCGAAGATTTCCAGAGTCCTAGTAGGAGACCATTGCCTAAGGTGTTCGATATGCAATAGCAATACAGCGGGTTACTTATTAAATTTCTAGCATCCGCGTGTTCATAAAGTCTGGATGTAATTTCTCAGTTATGGTACGGGATTGTCAAACACGAGGAATTTGATTTGACTGAGATGTTAGGATATATAATTTACCAGAATATTGTTGAGGAGGAAATTGTTTGAAAAATGTGTAACAATTATATTAGAAACCTGATTATGTAACAGTAACAGAGGAGAGAACGAGAGTGCGTAATGAAACAAGTGTATGATCATGCGGTAATCTATATAGTCATCAAAATAACGAGGACAGTTTTATACCGGCATAACTAACGTTTTTTGGTCGATATTAGCAACTGGACAACTTAATGAAGTTACAAAAAATGTGAGTAACCACAAAAATTTTATAAGTGAGGTTAATACTACCTATCTTTATAAGTATAGTGTTGTGGAGATTGTTCAGTCTCACTGAAATCAGTAAAGTTAACCATCTTTTCTCAGCTATATATATATATATATATATATATATATATATATATATATATATATATATATATATATATATATATATATATATATATATATATATATTGCATGTATATATATTGCATGCCATTATCCAACATGCTTATATATATATATATATATATATATATATATATATATATATATATATATATATATATATATATATATATATATATATATATATATATATATATATAAAAGCATGTTGGATAATGGCATGCAATATATGTTAATACACAAACTTATTGTACTTGTATGTTGTTGACCATAGCAAAAAGGGAAAATGTTAATTATATGAATTCCTAACAAAAAGTAACTATGATATATAACTCTGTAGTCAACACATACACACTTATTGATGATATAACATTAATTACTGAATGTTAGTCAAAAATATGCACACAGACTAATAAATATGCTGGTCTAGCTAAAACCAGTTCGTGATTTCAACTTTGAAAATTCTACTCTCTCAAGAAATCCTCCAATATATATGTTCATTTAATTGAAACAACTTATTGTTGTCACAACCCTGTAAACTCAGCAATACAGTTTCACCCTCAGACCTTAAGTTTTTGTTTCTAGACTTACTATTACTCGGACAACCCTCCTGGGACGGTAGGACCTGAAAAATTTCAGTCAATATAGATTGATTAGACCATGATGACATGACAGTGCGATCACCAATTCAAAATAGCAGTTACGATCAGTCCTCGAAGCACTGAATGCGTTTCCAGGAATGACTGAGTGAGCGATATTAAGGTTAAGCATGCTGTGCTTTACAGAGGTGGTGAGTCGATAGGTAAAGTTGTAAATCTTCATTGACTGACGTGGTTAAGACATATGTTTCGTATGCTCAACTATCACTCTCCTCGACGAGCAACGCAATGCTTGCTAGTTCAGATGTCGTTTTGAAGCAGTCTACGAGAAGTCAAACCATTGAGTGGACAATCATCTTTCATATATTCGAATGAATTTTAAGTTTTCGGGAGAAGCTGTACTGCTGAGTGTACAGGGTTGTGACAACAATAAGTTATTTCTCTAATGAACAGCATCTGCATCGATGCTGCCTCCTCACAACAGAAGGACAAGTTTCGGAATCCCCGACTCTGAAAATATCACACCTCATCTCACTCAATGAATTCCTGTCTTCTCCAATAGATCATTTTGAACTGCAATCCTAACACATAGAAAATTGTCACAAAACTTCTATGTAGCCTGTGTCCAAAATGTCTCTTAGCTCTACGGTCAGGTTCTCAGGTTGCCAAAACTACCACTGGTTTAGTTTCCCTTTCAGGTACCCCTTAAAGAAATATTTTTCCACGGTCTGGGTAACTGAGAAATAAAAATTTCCTTCATACCTCTAACGGTATGCAACATCGCCTCGTTCGTAATAAGACCCTGTCTTTATCACCAAATATTACTTTTACTTCTATTATCAACTTTCATTATGATGGTGAACAGATGAATTGAGAGTTATACAAAGAAGTAAATAATTAATCAATAAAATGTACAAAATATTTGTATTTATTTATTGTTCCACCACTTCTAGTTGTACAGTTAGATTTTCCGGCGACATGATTTTTAATTTAAGCTTTCTGTATGTCGGAAGAAAAAGGCTGCTTGTCTGTTTTAGTGCTGCCTTCGTGCTCACTATCGAGGAAAGCCAGTTTAAGTCTGTCTATAGAGGCTTTCTATTTGTGCTTATGAAGTATTTTTCGGCGCTCTCTGTCACTATAAGGTCCTTCATACGTTGGTTTTAGTAGGTTTTTACGGCATCGACTAATAAAAAAGAATCTACTCCTATTTAATTGTTTGTTAACCTGCTCGCAACGATAACTGTACAGATTAAATGAAATTTCTAAAAGCATGACTTATAGAAAACATTGTTTGCGATATAAGTTCAAATTGACCTTCTCTGCAATCGTTGTCTCATATTGATTATCAATATCTGTACTTTATCCATTGAACTTACGCTTTATGAACTGTTACATCCTTGATATGTCTACCCACTAATATGCAGAAGATAACTTGCCTCAATTTAGGTTTAGACCTTGACATGATAAGCTTACTGGTTCAACCTTGAGGCTAGAATCGCATTAGTTCGAAGTTAGACTAACTGCCTTGAGTAGAGAGACGAAAACTGCTCTGTCGGTTGATTGGTTGACAAGCTAGAGAGAGAGAGAGATAGGAGACGAGTCAACTGAAACTACTTGATTTATTCCTAATTCCGACTCACACTCCGATCCAAATTAACACAAAAAGATGCATGAATAATAGATAATTAACATGACCACAATGTACAAACAATTCGAAAAATACTGTCTTGTTTATAACTGGGGATTAGGGTAGAAAAATAGAGTAGCCAAAGTTACATTTAAATCACAATAACTTTGTGATTAAAAAGGGTTTGTCAATGAATCATACATCAGAAGAAAGATTATGGTTTTCAGAATAAACTACGGACAAAATTAAATGTTAGTTTTACAAGGTTTGAATTGATTGATATAACGTCCCTCAAAATAGCTTCCGCTGCTTGTCGTAGCTTTTTTTTCTCTGTTCACATCACGAGCCTTTGTTAATTAACGTTATCTCAAGTCATATGGTGCGTAATAATTAGTTAACTAATCATAATCCAACTGATTTATAAAGTACATGTTAATGTAGTAGGCTTAGAGTCACACTCTTCGTAAATGTTCTAGCGATACTTCCCGGCTACTCAAATCGAAATAGAGGATGCAGGGTCAGAACATACAAACTATATCTTGAAAGTCGATGGATTGATTAAATTTTGCAAAAATGCACTGATTTCTACTTTCTTAGTGCAATTTATTTAATATTATTGATTCCCTTTCAAGGTCTCTCTGGCCCACCAGGTGCTGGGAAAAGTACATTTATTGAAGCATTTGGTGGTCGCCTTACAGGTAGTAAACCATGGAATCCTGTAATTAATACTTCTTATAAATCTTATGGTAAACAGCGGTTAACACTAGACGAAGAACATTTCAATCAAGAAATCAGAAAACTTCATCGTGTAGCTGTCTTAGCAATAGATCCTTCTTCACATACAACTGGTGGTAGTCTCTTGGCCGATAAAACTCGAATGCCTGAATTGTCCAGTAATATGAATGCCTACATACGACCATCCCCTAGTGGTGGAAATTTAGGTGGTGTTGCTCGTGCAACTAGTGAATCCATCCTACTATGTGAAGCTGCAGGATTTGAAACTGTCCTCGTAGAAACTGTTGGTATGTTCGTGTTTGAATTTTGTAGTTTCATATTTCTTGTTTTTTCTTTTAGAATTGTGAATAGATTCAAGATGTTAATAAATCGAAATGTAAGGGTGATATATTGGTTTACATCAATTGAATTTTAAAAGAGATCAGTATGTCTTCAAAGTGAGCTACGTAGTTCCGGTATGTTAATAAATGAAGTGTTCGTCAATGAAAAAATTAATTTACAATGTTTGGTCAAGTTAAACTATGTTTAAAGACAGACAATTTCGTGAACATTTTTGCATTAATAAATCGATAGCGATGATTGTGATCTCCACGTATTATTCGCCACTGCCATTAGACGCAATTTTCTTCCAATTTCATATGGAATATGTTTGGAAATGAATGAACTAATTTGATGTCATGAGGTTTGAGGCATATATGGGGATTCCTGAACCTAAGTTACTTGCTGATTGGAGCTCATAATCACGGTGTATCTTCAGTTTTGAGGGATTGTTACCCTCTGTGAGATCCGAACTTGCATCACCCAACATTACTTGGAGATGTTTCCACTGAGCTACGATCGATCTGTGGGACTGAATTAGCTCGGCTGATTCGTCATTGAGTGACAGTCCCATTGTAATTTGATCGACAGTCTTCCGTTGGCATCAATGACTAAACATATCATTCTTTTATAGAGCAAGAACAAAGATTGGTGCAGAATAATATGAATTCATTTTATTTCGTTAGGTTCTCATCAGCTGCTTACAACCTAAATTATTTGAAATTCAACATTATTACAGATATTGACATATTTATACATAAGAGTGTGATCAAGGATCAATACATGTGTATGATGATGTAGCAAGCAAAGATTCAGATAGAGTTAATGAGCTCATAAAATGTTTGATTCGAATAAATAAATAAAGTTAGAGAGGGGAAGTTCTGGAACATTGAAATAGTGATTAGAACTCATGAAAATAGATTAATGGTAATAAAGAAAAATGAATTGAAATCAATCATTTATGTATGATGTAATTTAAACTTCAGAAAGAGTTGCAGTAATGACGCAATAAATAAACAAATAGGAGCAAATGAATAGAAAGGGTGGCGTTTATTGTTACCAGGGTAAAGAAAGATTTATTACTGTCTCTTTTTGTATACATAGATCTGGTTTTAAACGTTTGATTGCTAACGCTTCAGCGAATTTCAAAAGGTTCGAGTTTGATTGTTTGTTAATCACCTTGAAGGACTTCAGTATATCAGCTTTATGTCCTGTATCAAGGAGATGTCTTGCGATAGCACTGTTGAATGAGTTCAATCCATTTAATCTTAAACTTTTAGGAATATGTTCTTTGAATCGGACGTAGGCTCTCCTTTCTGTTCTACCAATGTAACTGCTCTATTTAAGATAATAAGGGGAACTATGTGTATGAAATTTCTCAAAATGCGTCTCCCTGCACAGTCATTCAAGTCACTGAATCGCCTGGTGACAATACGCTGCAGAATATCGAGAGAAATAACTCGACTAAAGTTTTTTGATGAATGTCTCAAGTCATGCCGTTTCCCACGTCAGTTCTTAAAGTCTTTACGCTCATTTAAACTTCCGCCTTCTCTTAAAAATCTTCGACGCATCACAAAATCTCACATTGAATCAACAAAGTTACTGATTGAACGTTTGAGGGCAGAAACTAATGCCTTTGATGAATTAATCAACAATCTAAGTATCGTATGTCGCATAAAATTTATCAACTTTATACAAGATCTGCAAAGCAAAATATGCAAGAATTTCCACGTAACTTTGTCAAAGACTCTGTCAAAGGAACAATTATGTTTTGGCTTTCCGGAAAACCCCGAAAAGTTTCTCTATAATCTATCAACAATGAAGTTAAATCAGATAGAAACAGAAGCCTTGTCACTTGGATTTAAATTTCATATCCCCAAAACACATGCCGACAGAATCGACACAGAAACTCAATTTGAGAATTTATTTGATCAAATTAAAGAGTTGCACCCAGTTAGTGAAGAAAAGAAAGGCTGGTTTAAATCTAAACTAGTCGATATTGCAAACCAATATCTTGTTTCACCCGCACCACAGTCTAAGCTTTTATCCAAAGACCACCAAACAGCATTACGAAATATTAAACGAAATGACGATATAATGATATTACGGTCAGACAAAGGCTCAAGTGTTGTTCTAATGAACAAAACAGATTATGTTTTTAAGATGAAGTCCATCTTGAATGACCATATGAGATTCAAGTTAGAGAAAAGTAACAAAGACTTAACTGATTCCATTGAGAAAAGAATCACCAAAGTACTCAGAGATCTTCTGAAAAAGAAGATGATCGATAACTCTACTTACAATAATCTACGACCTCGTGGGTCTCGTTTGCCCCACATGTATGGATTACCGAAAATACATAAACAAGGTTATCCTCTTAGACCTATTTTGTCAATGATCAATTCACCATACCACAAAGTTGCACGATGGTTGGCAGATAAGTTAGAACCAGTGCGTCAACGATTAGCCACCTATACACTAAAGGATTCATTTGTATTTGCTGACAGCATGAATCACATAAATATTGCTGGTAAGTTTATGGTTTCTTTTGATGTAACATCTTTGTTTACAAAAATACCACTTCTTGAGACCATAGACATAATTTGTCAACATTCTGACATCCTACCTCTACCAGTACCAGAATTCAAACGACTATTACTCATTTGTACAAAAGATGTTCAGTTCCAGTTCAACGATATCATATACAAACAAACCGATGGTGTAGCGATGGGAAGTCCGTTAGGTCCTGTCCTAGCAGATATTTTCATGGCTAACCTCGAAAGAACCAAACTCAAACGAGCGATTGATGAAATGACGTATTATTCGAGGTATGTTGATGATACCTTCATCGTATGTAATAATAAACAACATGCAATAAATCTGCTAGAGTTTTTCAACGAAGCACATCCGAATATCCATTTCACTATGGAACATGAAAAAGAAAACAAGTTCCATTTTCTCGATATTGCGATGAAAAGAAGAAAAGATGGTACAGTTCAACGTTCAGTTTATAAGAAAGACACCACAAAAAGGCACAGAACAGAAAGAATATGTACTTCCGATACACTAGAAGAGGAAGTTATGAATGTTAAAAAATGTTTAAAGAATAACGGATACCCACTGAAATTTATTGAGAAATACGGCAAATGTGAAGATAAAAAACCGAAAGAAATTACAGCCAATAAAAAGCCTATTTTTATTAAACTTCAATTCAAAGGTGACGATGTCACAGGATCAATCAATATGAGACTAAAAACTGCACTGACAAGAACCTATCCTGCAGCGAAATTGATTGTCCTGTCCAAAACAACATGTTCTTTGACACAATCAAAGGTCGACAGGTATCCCTTTCATGTTACCACCAACTGTGTATACAAATTTACATGTACCTGCCAAAGCAGTTACATTGGTAGAACAGAAAGGAGAGCCTACGTCCGATTCAAAGAACATATTCCTAAAAGTTTAAGATTAAATGGATTGAACTCATTCAACAGTGCTATCGCAAGACATCTCCTTGATACAGGACATAAAGCTGATATACTGAAGTCCTTCAAGGTGATTAACAAACAATCAAACTCGAACCTTTTGAAATTCGCTGAAGCGTTAGCAATCAAACGTTTAAAACCAGATCTATGTATACAAAAAGAGACAGTAATAAATCTTTCTTTACCCTGGTAACAATAAACGCCACCCTTTCTATTCATTTGCTCCTATTTATTTATTTATTGCGTCATTATTGCAACTCTTTCTGAAGTTTAAATTACATCATACATAAATGATTGATTTCAATTCATTTTTCTTTATTACCATTAATCTATTTTCATGAGTTCTAATCACTATTTCAATGTTCCAGAACTTCCCCTCTCTAACTTTATTTATTTATTCGAATCAAACATTTTATGAGCTCATTAACTCTATCTGAATCTTTGCTTGCTACATCATCATACACATGTATTGATCCTTGATCACACTCTTATGTATAAATATGTCAATATCTGTAATAATGTTGAATTTCAAATAATTTAGGTTGTAAGCAGCTGATGAGAACCTAACGAAATAAAATGAATTCATATTATTCTGCACCAATCTTTGTTCTTGCTCTATTTAAGATAATAAAGGGAACTATGTGTATGAAATATCATTCTTTATTACAAATAACTAATTTAAAATGTAACTCATGAAAAAACTTTGTTATTCATAGTTTGGTTGTATTTATTTTGATTTTCAGTATAATCATTTACAAACTACTTTCTTAAAATACAACTGCAGTGCTCCTGATGCGTCAACGTAGTTGTGGTTTTTCGACCGGATGCAGTTCCTTAGAGGGCAGTCCTCCTGTGAATTTTGCTTATATGCTTCATTAGTTAAAATTTAAGATATTATGTTCGTCAGCATCTGTTCCACATAAATAGCTGTCCAGTAATTGCTGGATTTGATCAAGCCTGTAATTCTTGTCACTACATGATGAAAGTTGTTCTTTTAGGTATATAGTTTTACTTCTGTGTTATGCAGCCTAACATCTGTAACGAAGTCTATCGTATGGAATTTCTACAACTGAATCCTAATTGAAAATTCCCTTTAGAAATTTATATCTTCATAAAATTCGGAAATTTTTACGTACATCGCCTAATTGTCTGAACATAATTTGTCCCCTTATGATTCCAGGTGTTGGACAGTTAGAGTTCGCTGCTGCAGATATGGTTGATATGTTTGTTTTGATTATTCCTCCTGCTGGAGGTGATGAATTACAAGGCATAAAACGAGGGATTGTTGAAGTTGCTGATCTGGTTCTAGTGAATAAAGCAGATGGTGAACTATTGCATCAAGCTCGTCTTATTGCTAAAGAATATTCGAACGCTCTCAAATATATGCGTTGTCGAAGACCTAATTGGATTCCGAAAGTAAACCAGTTACTTTATTTAACTTATGAAATACAAGAATTTAAAATAGGAAGTAATTTAGATTCACTAAATATTTCAAAGTCTTGACCCGTGCGAAATAATTAGCATCCACTCTATAGCGATAGGTCATTAGTTGGGATTCAGTAATCTGAATACTTAACTCATTAATCCTAATATGCTCAACAGCATTTCATTACAAGAATTAAAAGTCATTAAGTTGTAAACACTAAATTTTCACTACTTGACGACAGACAATTGCTTGTTTTATCGAAGCAAATTTTTTTAAAATATGAAGCAGTGCATTTCTCTTTTCATGAATCTTGATTAAAAAAATCTGTGTTTGTAAAAAAACGACTTTTCTCTGTCAGAAGTTATTTATTCAAATAAGTAATCACTGTTTTTAAATTACCGAATACATTTAATTATCTGTATAGTCTTGAATATTTACGAAAAAAATACATCTCAATATTGGTACATGTACATGAATCACCTGAATACCATAATATCCGAACGGCTCAACAGTTAAATCTTTAGTAGTTCCACACTAATTTACTGTTATTTATATTACATAAAATGTTTTCATTTTTAGGATATTTCAAGAAATTCATTGTTATTTGTAAACCTTGTAGGAGTAGGCTGAAAGAAGGCAAAGGGCGGCCAAACCATGGCATTAGTCCATGAAATCATTAACAAATATACTGAGCCATGTTAATAGGTTCAGACTACCTGGTTGTGGTCCATTTCATTATCGTAACCAGTGTTTCCAGACTTTTAATGACGTGGCTCAAAATCGCTTTCCTAAAGTCCTGAGCTTCTTAATTCCTCATAATTGTTTTTATTTCACTAATCTATATCTTCTTGAATTGCGTCTTCGATGCCTAATCTCTATCATCACTGATACTGTAAATACATCTACTACTGTGGGAGTTGGCCTGACATTTTCGTTTCGGTGTGCCAAATGGGTATGGCAAGTTTGATCGATATACACACGTGCTAGGTTCTACGTTGCAACTGATTGACTGATAAACCCTGTGAAACATGTCTATTCATTCAGCAGTTTTGTCATATACTTGAAGTTTAAAGTTGATTTATGATCAAATAGGTTTGAGAATAATGACATTTGAAAAACACAACATAAAATTCTATCTGTTAATTCGATCAGCTACAACGTAAGACCAGGCACATATATACATCTGTTAATTCGTCTTACAGTATTCTTATTCTAATAAGTAATAAAAAATTAACTGTTCGTATCACTGATCTGAGAAAAGAACTAAAGCGTAAGGATTGTTCAACATTAAGTCGGTTTTCACCACTAACTAGTATTATCTAGATAAGTACTTGTTACCAGGAAGTATTGAAAAAATGCTTTACCTTCGTTTAGAACTTCTTAGTGGTATACACCACTAATTTCATGCTTGATTGTACCCAGGAATTCCAGGTTTCGCTGTGTGTGGTACTTTTTTGATAAATGAGTTAAAAATCTAATGGTCTGCATTTCCAGCACCCAATACCATATGTGGTGTAAGTTTCACTTTCAAAATATTATACCGATATTACCGATTAGTGTTGTATTTATGTGCACTACTGAGAAATAGTCTCGAAATAGAACTTAACTGTAAAGTAACTTTCTGATTTTTAAATGATTTCTTTGTTGATGTTAGCCACGTTTAAAACTAACTTCAAATCCATTTTATCTTCAGTAACTATTAATATAAGTTAACTGAATAATAATTCTTCACAATTGTTTTTTTTTCATACTTGTATAAAACCAAATAAGGTACAACTTGTATCCAGTCTAACAGGTGATGGACTTATTGAATTTTGGTCTACAGCTTTTAAATTTCACCAATCACTAGTTAAATCAGGTGAATTACAGAGAATACGAAAAGAACAATTGAGAGTGAGTTAATTCAATTAAATCTAGGTTTTCAACGTTTTTTTTTCTATATTATTTTCTACTCCGTTTTTTCTTTACCTTAAATAATTAGTTCATGTAACTCACCAACTTCAAATCAGTGTACTTATCACCGAGGTACAATTTAAATATGAAAGCTTAATACTCTTGTAGTGACTGGTGCAATGTCATGTTCACATAGTCTATTCTAGCTTCTGGAATAACCAATTTATCCATTCTTCTCAAGCTACATTTTCCCCTTGTTGATTATTCGCTTATCAACCTTGAGTGTTTTTATGTAAGCGTGTGTGCATTTCTTATCTTATTTATCACATGTCAGTAGCTTATTTTTGTTTGACTATAAATATCGATTCACGCTTGGTTAAATGGAGTTGGCTTACATACCTACTCCTATCCGTTTTGCTTCTCTCTCATCTTCGCTTCATTTTCTTGGTTGTCTGTTCAGATCAAAGATTGTATGAAATACACGTATTCGAAATACATTCTCGTATTTGACTTATATAATTCCGTTATTCACCAACGTGATTTAAGTCGATCGTTGTATACGAGGATCGGCGACATGTATATTTTAATAACAGTCATTCATACGATCGAACTGGAGTCATATATATGACCACTAAACTCCTACTACCTGGCCTCATTAATCATACTGAATTAAAGTATTTGGACCTGCAGTCTCCTTATTAAAATTTTCAGGTTGGAAATACCACTCATTCATCTACCAATTTGCACATAAATAATCTTAAATTGGTTAAATGATATTTTATTGACAGTTTTTTTATAACTTACTACAGAATCGTCTTAAATCATTCTAGTTAATTCAATGAAGTATACTGTTGACTTATTGTATATACATTGATATTATTTTTTTCTCCAAAAATATCATTTCGTGATAGGAGAGTATCACCAAATACTTAATTAAAATATCTTGAAATGAATAAATTGATACTGATAAGTTTGATAAACGATTGCTTGATCCGACATCATAGCCGCATTTAATAACCATCAGGCTACATATACACAACTTGAACACAAGAGAAAAGGCGCAAAGTGCAAAATGAACGCTTTACTCCGAGGTTGAGTGATACACAGCAAAACGAGAGGCTGCTGAGAATTTCTGAAACCGTACTAAATATAGTAGCAGTATAGGTTAATGTCCAGTTAGGGACGTGACTTCAATCTCTAGATGTCTGTCTAATACTGATTGGATAAAACTTTGGGGAGGAGGGGCTCTTACGGGCTTTTCTGAGGAATACTTTGGAACTACTCAAAATTAACTTTGAAACTTTATAGTTTATTCGCACATGTATGCTGATTTAAATTCCTTTCGAACTTCTGTATTTAATGTATGCTAAAAAATTTCCGATTTGACACCATCGAATTTCTTTATTTATTTGTTTATTTACCAATCATAATTCTTATGTTTGTCGTAAACATTATTAGGTTTGTTGACTCATTTTTCATTTTAGAAATGGATAAAATTTATCAAGTCAAATAGCTTAATTGTTATGACTTTCGACAAGCTGAGACTCAATGGTCTGGGGAATAGTTTATAATTGCATATGTAGGAAATTACTATTTACAGTTGTGAACCAATTTAATCATATATCTTTGATAAACCAGCTATTGGAGATAATGTTTTTGTGAACTTATATTCAATTCAAATCATTATTTGATTTAGAATAGATGGATTGGGTTTTGCTGTAGAATCTAGGATATGCGTTTCATCTTATTTGGGACTCATCAGCCGGATGTTCAATCACAATGTTGATGTTCGCGCCGGAATTGCACTGTTACCCTTAACGAATCTATTTTAGATTATTTATTTATTTCAACACATAAATATTGGTACAAGAGGGCACCAATTATATATGCGCCACACCATATTTGTGTGTGTGTGGGCTGTGATACTGCCCAGGTGCCCAGACCGAAGCAGGTGGTTTTCTTAGGGGGTCACACCCGGAGCCTTTGACCTAAAGGTCTGATCCACAAGGCAATGGAGCATTGTGAGGAGATGCAGTCCCATGGTAGCCGGTGACCGACGGTTGGTTCATACGCCATTTGTTCCCGCAGGATACTGGAGCCCATGTGCACCATTGGTTTGGGATCCGGTTAAAGCTCCGGACATTCGCTTTTCGTCCTCTCATTTTCGTAGACAACACCCCCGCCACGAGAACGCAGTGAGTAGGACTTCGCTGGCAGAGGCTGTATACGTGTGACCGTGTGAGAGCATTTCTAGCATAGCTCGAAATGCTATTTTAAATAACTTATGAAATATTGGCTACGTCGTCGATAATCCGACATTATATTGTTTCTCTATATTTTCTTACATTAGATATGGATGTGGACATTTGTTAAAGAGGAGATTTGGCGTAGATTTAAAAAACAGTCCACTTATTCTAGAGAAACAAAAAGAAATCGAAACATTACTATTCAACCGAGAAATCGCTCCTGGTATAGCTGCTGAATTATTACTTGATATTGATCATAGAAAATCATAATACGCATATTGCACATACCTATTTATTGTATATTACTAAATCTATAATCACAGAAATTCTGGACTTTTTCTTTCAAATTAATCTCGAAGAAAGTTACTTTTAGTTGGTCTTCTCTACAATTGCATTTTAACCCTATGTTCATTGTTATTATTTATCTTAAGGATTGTCTCAGATAACTAATTTTATTTATTTCGTCAGATTTGGCGACGATGTTTTTTCTATTAATCTTCACTTTTCAAGTACTTCTTCACTAGATATAGAATATAAGGAAAATTGAATTGGTCAATTCATTTGTAAATCACACTTGAAATATCTTTAAATTTTGTTTCCACAGTTTTTTCTCTGAATTGAATAGATGTGTTTATGTGTTATGTGCAAAACTCAGCTGACCAGTCAAATGGATGGTGTTATGACCAGACGCTATTTTTATTTCCACTCTTCAACAAAACGAGTATAAGTTGGTGTAATTGGATTGATCAGTTGCAAAGGTATAATTATTACATTGTCAACCTTCATATAAGTGATAAAAATAAGACATACAATACCATTTATCTTAAACTCAGAGTTTAGAAATTGGTTAAACTGGTCTCGTTTAATAAATGATATCCTAGACGATCGAGTACTATTGTGAATTGATTGGTATTAGCCTCGTACATCATAAGATCCTGGCTCAGCCGTCTAAAGAGTAAGGGTTCGCGCGCGAGACTGAAGGTACCGGATTCGATCCTCGATGGTGGAGTCGTAGATGAACATCAGTAAGATGTCCAATACAAGGACGAAACGGGCATCCAGTGGTTTCATGTTCTTGATGTTTGTCTAGTTTAGATCGGTGTATGATCTTCATAATATCCCAGAATGTAGATGTCCTACTTTTTGAGTGTACTTCAAAGATCATGAATGTTAATTATTTCTAGTTATTTTTGACGTGTTTCATCCATACTCCTTATAGTTATCAAATTAACAAACCTGTATAATTCACTTCTATTTGATAACTGAATCCATGAGTCGATTTAAACTAGATCACCACGGAAAACCTGGAAACATTGGATGGCTGTTTCATCCTAATATGGGACTCAGCAATGCGCACCCACTTTCATTTATTATTTACATTCTTATTTCCCTTTGACGTGGGTTCAGATTTTGACTAGCTTTTAGTACATCTATTAGTGAAGCAAAAATTCCTCACTTTATCATGGACTGCTGTGTGTAAAAGATAACTATAAATACGACTACATAGCTCTAGTAATTGACGTCGTTGAAAAGGGAATTCTCTTCACTCAAACTGTCTTTATTCTCTTTATTGGTATAATCTTGCGCTGGAACTCTTTTCACTGCTTGTTAAACCTTTTTCAACTGGCAAGTTGTATTGTTTGTACTACCCCGTGATACACTGTCATCAATTTGACAATCACCTCTTGTGAATAAGAATATATGACAAATATGTAAGAATCTTGTAGTAAAACCCAGCAAATTGCAACAATGTCTGTATGTTGATGAAAGCTGTAAGCTCAGCGACTATCCCACAGACATTTACAAGCTGTTTTAAGCTAAAACAAAATGCGGTTTGTAAGGTTTCCGACAGTCATGTGTTTTTCATATGACCCACATGGTGACTGAGTACGCGTATATTGTAGGTCTGTAATAACCTACAAACACGTGACCAGCTTTACACATTTAATACGAAAAAACCTCGTCATTAGCTGTTTAGGTTTGCTGGAACGAAAGCTGTGGTAAATTTGTTCCGGAATAACTTTTTTACCCATCATATGGTCTCAGTGGTTGATTAGAGACTTCCGTTACGGACCAATTGTGATTGGGGTGCCAAAAATTAGACAGAAAGTACTGAGAACCTGTTACTTAGTGTATTGACACTTTTCTATGTCTCCAGAGCATTGAACTCAATGAATTCAAAGAGCCTACCTACTTAGTGAAAACCCAATTTTTCACACCACAATGTGACATTGAGTAGGCTAGCGATCGACTGTTGTATGCAGTAGGCTTGTTAGAAGACTCGTAATTAGTTGAGGTATGACCGGAAGAAAGTCGTAACAGCTACAATCAACCTAGCAGTTGTACATATCCAATATAATTACCAATCAACCTAACTTAACACAATCAACATAGTCCGAATAATTAGACTAAAAATAGTATTACCCGGCACAGAACTACTTCAACACCTTGTTTGTGTTGAACTTAAAAATGAACTTCATCGATATTTTGAATGTACTGCGGCAAAGCATATGGATAATTGATAAATACATAACTGACAAGGTTATTTACACAATATACATTACGAACATCTGTAAATATCCATAACTAATGGATACATTTTTCAAATCAGACTATCAATCCACTGTTGATAAAGTAATTTTACTTTTGAGATGTTCATGAAGAACAAGGATTTATAAAAAATGAGAGTTATATTTCACACCAGTAGCTTCAATAGAAGTAACTTGAGCCCATAAAGAACGTGTATGCCACCTGCTGATAAGATCATTAAGCTCTGAATTATCATAATCTACCCCTAGAATAAATCCAAGTACACAACCCCCGAAACCTGCTCCAGTGACTTTCGCTGGAATACCAACTAGTTTTAATTCTTCAATAATTTCGTTTGAAATAGAATGTGACACTCCCAATTCTTCAAGCAAATGTTGGTTTCTAACAATATGACGAGTAAGAGATCGACTAATTTCACAGTTATCTTTCTGATTCAAAATATCAATTACTTCGTCCACGATGATACCTATTTCTTTGAAAATAGAATTTACACACGTTTTATCTTCCTTCCACTTATCATAAACCTTTCGTACAGCGAGAGATGTGGAACGAGTAATGTTAGTATTCACTATGAGTAATTTGACAGTATCGAAATTTGAAATGTTAATTTCCTGAAATAAAGGAAGTTGATCTTTCCGAAAAACTATAGTACCTCCATACGTGCATATTGTACTATCTAATCCTGAAGATTTTCCATGAATGATGCATTCAGCGTCTCTAGCCAAAGAAGATATTAATTTACGTTGAATCTTATCAATGTCCCAAACTTGTACAAGTGGATAATTGTTAGTTAATAATAGAATGGTAGCAGTAGCAGCGACTGAAAATGCACCTGATGATCCTAGGCCACATCCACTAGGCATATCTGACTGAATTTCTATACATATGGTATTTTTTCCATTAAACATTGGGAATTGTTGATTGCTACACTCATCGCTTCGTAGTTGTGTAGCACGAATAAACAGATATACTATGACACATGTGCTAACAATGATAGGTGAATCATGAAGAGAGTCATGATAAGCACAATCAAAAAGATCTGACACTAATTTCCATGCGTAATCCATAACAGATTCTTTATTTGAAATAGAATGAAACATTTTGATTGGAATATGAATGCTATTTTCTGATAAATCTTTAAAATCTATAATAATATCTTCACAAGCTTCATTCTTAATGGTAACTGTAAAATAACACCGTAAGTCAATTGTAGCAGCGATAGCTGGATAACCGTATACAACAGCATGCTCACCAAATAATATAGCTTTCGCAGGAGCAGACACAACAAACTTCTTCATAAATGATTGGAGTTTATGTTATCTTGTTGGCAAATAATTCACAATAAATCTCGCTCATGTAAAACTAGTATCCTAGGAAGAAAATAAGCGATGCTTACAGCGAATTAGGATGAAAAACAATGCACACGAAATAACTCGCTTCAAAGCAAGAGTGACTTAAAATAATAGAGTTTTAAGAAGCTATTCAGTATGTTGAAAAAACAATGAACTGTCAAGAAGTTATAAACAGCAACAAAGTGGATACCTTATGAAACCTCATTATATATTGTTTACTGGTGGAGCGAAGGCTTTGCCTTCAGCCACTGCGTAACCAGATTGGACTCCGCCTCAACTACTTCGGTTTAGGCGACCATGTAGTATCACTAATCATCGCATTCACAGTGTTGTTTGGAGCCAGATACGTGGTAAATGGGTCAATAATAGTCCAAACTTGTTGTTTGGTCAATGGTCTTAAAGTAATAGCTTTCCGAGAAGTTATAACTGACAACGTAAAATTATCATAACTTAGTTGTTGAAAAGTATTAAATTACCTATCAAGAACTGTAGAAACTAAAGAATAGAACAATTCGACTAGTTTCCCAGCTCATAAATACGATATATTAAAAACAACTGACACATTTAAATAGCTGGAAAACATCATTCGACTTGGAGTCACACTTTTGTATAAAGGCTAGTGATACTGCCCGGTCATTAAAATCAATTTAAGTGGAGTGTAATTTGGACCTACAACCTAACTCTTATATAAACTAGTGTCAGAAGCAAAAACCTGTTACACACTACTTAGCCGTACAATATGTATAATATAGGGAACTTTTGTTAGCGACTTCAGTTACAAAAAGTATTCCTTTCTTAAGAAAGCTAGAATAACTCAATAGAAACTTACTATGCTCGCTTACAAATTGATAGGAATAGATCTTACCATCCACACGTAAGTAAAATATACTGCTTTGGATTTGTGAGCTGGACAATTAACTAAAACATTAGCTATACTATATCCTGGTTGTTAATTACAAGGAAAATCGCGAAAAACAATAGAAAGGATATAAAATTAAGTGTTATGACCTCTGGAATCGACACGAAAACAATAGAACAACTAGTAGCTAAACTACAGGAAATAAACTTACGATTTAGATATGGGCGAACATAAGGTACCCAAAATTTGATTTAAAAAAACTACTGTATTATACACGTTATTTATTGTGAAAGTAATGTCAAGAAATTTACTTTCAAATATCCATATGTAACAGCAGTTATCAGAAAGTTAAAGCAATATAAGTGTATAATATCAGCTGGCATAACCAATATGGATCCGAAACTCCAAGCTAATCTTAGCTAGCCAAAACACTACGATTTAATATAGAATAGTAAATCTCCCAAAAGCCAGTAAATTGTCGGACCTTTACTATAAATGCAATGTAACTAGGTTAGCTTTACACCGGGAAAATTGAAGTAGCCAACTGAATCTAACTTAAGGTGTTAGGAGCGTTCGATTAGTTGATGGTGTACGATTGCGTGTGTCAGGGATTTTGTTAACATCTTCAATAGATTAGTTGACCGATAAATGAGGAGTTAAGTTATCTGTGTTCTAGTCTTGGAGTGCAATGACTGAAAAACTGAAAACAGTTCTAGTTAGGTAGTAGAGATACTTTAACCATACCATAAAAGCAACAAATCACCTTTGATAAATTTTAAAGATACACAGAAATCAAAACAACAGACTTTTGAAAACGCATTAGCTCAGCTCGAGGAAAGTTTCGTGTGAGACATGAGGTTATTCCTATACAAGAATAAGAGGCTAACGCGAGGTTTGAAGTTTTTTGATCTTTTTTTTTACTTTAGAAACGAAATCCAGACAAAGCATTCAGAGATATACAATTAAATGAATGATCATCTGAACCTATTTGGAATTGTTAATGTATGAGCCTACGATGAATACCTTTCCACTGTGCATAAAATCATTTCAAAAAAACATTTTGCACTGTAATATGCTTCTCTCCTATTCCCAAGATTTATTTTGTGGATAAGCTGGACTAAGACTTTATTGGATTCCGACAAATATTATGAAAATCTTATATAAGAATTTTAACCGTCTAGTGAAATTTATTCAGCTCTTGAAAAATATGCGTCCTAGTATTGTACGTGACACATTCACTTCCTGTTATCGACTTACTTGAAAATTATCAGTGTAAAGTTGTGGAGAATCTTAGTTTCTAATCGAGGTCATGAACCGATCAATGTCAGACCACCATTGAAAGCCTGGAAGCTCCTCAGCAGTGAGCACCCACGATTTCGCAAGCGGGAACCGAACCTAGGATCTTCTGTCTCGAAAACCACCTTTTTTTGTTTACGTTGGTTCAGAATAAGACCAGAACGGTGTGAATGTGAAACTACACAAAGGTCACTATTCATTGCTGTATACTCAAAGCATATAATGTATTATTCAGCTGACGTACTCGATGCCCATACAACAATAAAAATAACAAAATCCCTCTAAATACAGAAAATTCATAACACGTTTTCGTCATACAGCATTACGACTTTCTAAGGTTAATCAAATACGTCAACTATATACTGAAAACAGTGGACAAATGTTTTATCTTTAGATACTTCACTAAGTACAACTGCCAATCCATCGGTAGAAAATTGTTTTTATAATCAACTGTATCCAAAACATATTGGGTTTGTACCAGACACAAAAATCCTGACACTCGTCACACCTCACTACTTCAAGTGGTGTTCTTCAGGGTTGTCTGCTTCCTCCATTTCTACTTAACCTTGTCATAGACATCCTTTTGGCGATAACACTTTTACCGTCTGACTTTTCAGTTGGTTATTTACCAAAAGATTTACATGTTCACTCATAATATACAGATGATATAGTTCTGTTTGGTGAAGACACTGAGAAATTTCAGTTTTCTGACCACCTTAAGCAACAATGCAAGCACGTTTGGAATGCGGTTCTCTACCTCCAAATGTAAAATGTTACTTAAACAATAGCTTGCGTCATCGCATCCATCCACGTTTTATTGAGTCTCATCAGTAATGACGGTCTAGTATCTGACGAAGTCTCAGCACAGATTCAGATGGCTTGATTGGCTTTGACAACTTGCGACACCTGCAGCGTAGGTGAGAAATCCGTGTCCCAACCAAAGAGCGAGTTTACTGCACAGCGACTCACTGCATTCTACTTTATGGGTGTGAAACATGGCCATTAAGAAAAGAAGATATTCGTGGGTTACTGGTATCTGATCACAGATGTCATCGAAGCATTGCTCGTGTATTTCCGGAAAACTGAGTGGGCAATTCCAGGGTTAGGAATAGGGTACTAGATGAGGATGGAGAGCCGATGGACGAGATAGTAAATCTTTATCAACTGAGGTGGTTGCGATATTTGATACGCATGGCCCCCATCGCCTACCTAGATGAGAGATGTTTTCTGATGTATGAGTACGCTGGAAGAAAGCTCGAGATTTAAAACCAAAACATGTCGTCAGTCTATGAAGTCACTGACGATTGAACTCAGTCATGTTAATAGGTACGCACTACCTGGTGGGTGTCCGCGTCATTACCGTAACCAATCACTAGAGACTTTGAATCACATGACTCAAAATTGTCGTAGGTGCATCCGTTCTGTCATCCCTCAAATCTTGGGTTTCTAAATTCCTCATAACATTTCTTGTTTCTATTTCGCCAATTTAGATTTTCTTCTCAAATCGTATCGTCCATGTTACTACCTCTACTATTCTGGGATTTGGCCTGACATCTCTCAGTGCTTATAAATTAATGACAACTCGAACACGATGTACATACGTACAGATGGGTTTAGGGCAAGCGTTAATTTTCACTGCGGTAACTAGCAAACAATACAGGCTTTGTATGGACCAAGAATATTTCTGTCCCGATTATCAGAGCCGATAGTGCAATATTACATGTTAAATTTCCCAACGTCGTCTTTTATTTACATCTAATGTGGAAAAATCAGGACGTTTGGGAAGACAATGAGTCCTAAAACACTGAGGATTCTAATTTTGTTATTAGTGTGCGAAAATTTCAGGTGAATTTAGTGATTGTTTAGGGGGAAATGTCAACTGTGGAAAAACTTAGGTAAATTCCGATCAAAAAATCCCAGACCTAAGAAAACCTTCAAACGAATCGCATACCGGGATGAATTTTGAGAGTTCTAGTTGCATGTTTCTAAAATTCACTCGAAACTTTCAAAGAAATTGTACCAATTGAAGCAGTTTCGCCCAACTTCAAAGTTAGGAGGTTGAGAGATCGCAAAGAACAAATAATATAAGCTTCAAATTATGCTAATTCACTGTGTTATGTTCGGTAGCGCTTCAAAATATTTAAGAACATATATGTATTAAGAGGGAGTATAAAGAGGAAATACGACCATACTGCACCAAACTCACAGTATCCGAAACCGCAACGACCTTGAGAGATCGAAATCGCAACATGATTACTATTTAAATTACTAGTTCATTCTTACCCTTGCATTCTGTCTAGTATGTCTGTATTCCAATCGTCCAAATATGTCGTAAAACACCGATAGTTTTCTAAAGCAGTACAAGCAATATTTTACCAGATGTTTGCAATAAACTTCACGCAAGCTATTTAAAATTGGTAGTGGTATCTTTGCTCGTTCAGTAAGTCACTTGGTTTTCATTGTGTAATATATAAGTCTCAACATTTTGTGTTCAGTGTCACTCAATTTTACAGTTTTAAAAACATTTGTTTTGGAATTTTCTTGGTTTTTTCCACGCCTAAGGGAACCTGTTGTTTTGTTCACTTTGTAAGTTCATCTAGCAAATTTAATGGTGTAAACAGAACATCCTTGCGGAAGACTCACATGCTCCCTTCCAGTCAAGGATAGAATGTAATATGTTAGTTGCAAAAGTGTTGTCACAACGTGTGCATCAAACATCAATTGCATATAAAAGGTGTTTAAATCCACTACCACTTCGGTTGTGCAAATCATACTGCTCTGAAAAGTGGCTGATGGTTCTTAAGGCAATGTGACCATTGAACACAGCCAGAAGGGTGGACTTAGATGAACAGTCAGCACCAGATTATCAGGTGCCAGATCTTAAGGAAGCAACGATGACCATCATGAGTCTGCCTTAGATTCGAATGAAACCACAAAGGTGGACCCCCATAGTTAAATGGATGTTAAATACACAGATGTAGGTGTGGCATTGCGAAAAAGCGCTCTGAGAAGAAACAAAATCCGGATAGCTCTAAGATATACGACTTGACGTCTTCAGCTGCTGATCCCCATATAATCACAAAGCAGGCTATGAATATGCAGAGAATAGACAGTGTGGATTTGATGAAGACACAAACTAAAGCCAATGATTGGCCCACTATAGTACCCAGGGACTTGTGCGAACGAATTGAGACCCGAACTGTTGTTAACACATCAGACTGTGAGGACAAGGATAGCGTTGGAAGCAAAACCTCAAAACATGTTAAAACGGACCTCGCAGAGACAACATTCGTTTTTACATAAGTTAGGAGAATCTTCATAAAATGAACCAGAGGTTAGATTTGGAAAGGTTCCCAGCCAATATTATGTCCTTAATAAGCAATCTAATTTCGGAGACAGTGATAGAATTTGGCAATCACAGTTTCACATAATAGGATAAAAGTGAAGTCTCAAAGAATGGGGGTAAACCGCCTAATAAAATTTACTTTTGCTTCTATAAAATTAACGCAAACTAACTGGCTGCGGAATACATGTACGTGTGGATATCGACCTAGTCGACAGTGTTACGAAACAATGAATAGAGGTAAAAATAAACGGTTAAAAATATCGAATAATGAAGGGTATTCACATCGAAAAGACTCGTAGTAAAACGAACACAAAACCACTTTAGATTGTACAGGAGCCTTTTCACGGAACCAAGGGAATGCTATAAAAATGCTTGTAGCTAACTGAACAAAATAGCCTGGCGCAAAAAACGTGGTGAACACAGAACACACGGGTGTCACAGCCATCTCAGAAACATGGTTAACGACAAAATTGTATGTCGGTGGAGTTCCATTGAACTGACTCCAACACCTCTGGACTGTAGAGAAAGGGAAATGATATTAGCTATAGAATACCATAGTCCAGAATGTGTGGTGGAAGAAATAACAATAAATTAAAATAACCCAAAATCACAAAGGTGTCGAAATGTTAGAGAGAAACATAAACAAACAAGTACTTTCAACACAAAACATAGTTTGTATGAACCTATGCACTATATTAGCAATATGTAATTCAGTGCACTTTTCGTACCTAACTGTATAATTATAATTTCTAAATTGTCACTATTTCTATACACGGATTGTTACGGAAGAACTAGACATTTGGCTGATTAAAACCCTTTTATTATACATCAATAATTTTACTGTGTTTTTGGATGTATCTGTTTTATTTAACATTTGAACTTGTTTGTTTATATCCTTATTTTCGCACATTTTGGTTTTTCTTTTTCTTTGGTTTGGTATTTGAGAGCTTTTGCTCCGGGAACCTACAAAATTGAAGGTCGACATACCGTACTTCGATAGAGGGAACGAGCAAAAACTTGGATGTGACATACAGTTCTTCAATTTTAATTCTGTGTTCATAACTTGGATTCGTTTGTATATTTTGGGTTCAATTTCCTGGTTCTATAGGTCGATTTGGTTTGAATCAATTCAGATTTGTTTTGATAATCGATTCTTTGGAACAAGGAATACGATGGAAAGGCGGAGCAAAAGGCCGAAGGAAAATGACGAAATGGATGGTAAAATTTCTAAAGCTGTTTGTGGTATGTCTGATGTTAATGATGATAAATGTGATGATGTTAGTATTAATAGTATGTCCTCTGCTCAGCTTAGCACTTCTAAATTAGGGTTAGGTAAGGCATTACTAAGAAAAAGGAATTTAGAAAAGAGACCTGAATTAGAATGGCAACTTAAGATGTCAGATCTTCAAGAACAGCTTGATATGGCTGAATTAGAATGTAAGGTCATGGAGGTTGATAACCAACTGCCCGTAGATAAATGTGGGATAAATGCTAAGGTGTAAGGGTATTTGGGTTGTGATACTGGGTGTATTAATCATTCAAGGGAGGTATTTAACATGTCAAAGAGCGATTGGGTTGATGAGCTGAAGGATACATTACATACTATGGTTAATAATATGGTTTTACCCTAGATTGATATGATGTATTTTGATGGGCAACCGAGTCAGTACCACCGTTTTATTAGTCGGTTTACCAGCATTATCGAGAGTAAACTGTCCGATAAGGGCCAATTGTTGTCGTATTTTGTTATACAATTGTAAGGGAAAGGTCAGGATGGCTACTGAAGCTTGCATTTCATTACCCATTCATTTGGGTTATGATAGAGCTAAACAGGTTTTGTATGACATGTTTAGTAAGGAGCACCCTGTTGCTCGCAATCTGATTACTGTGTAGTGGTAAATAAATCCCCAAAATAAATAGTTCTGTATGTTTTCGACATTGGCTACATGTGCCATCTTCAAATGAGTTACTTAACCACAAATCCGTTGACGAATCAGCCGATGGCTTAACTGACTTTGCAATTAAGCTACGTAATGCATGCATAACATTGAATGGAATGGGGTATACGTGTGATATGAATTCTCCGGCTAATTTGGAAAGAACTGTGTCACGTTTACCCCTAGAATTACAGAATAAGCGGGTGGAAGTTGCCGATAAGATCGTGATGACCGGAAGGGAGCCGATATTTGAAGAACTTGTGATCTTTGTACAAGAAAGAGCCAGGATTGCTTGAACAAGTTTTGGTAGATTGATACATTGTAACTCAAAGTTCAGTAACAGTAATTGTGAAAGCAAAGTTGATAAGAGATCACGTGGTAATGTAGTTAAGCTGGAACCAAGCAACTCATTCACGGCTCTCAGTTACGAAAGTTGCTTCGGTGATCACAAAAGGATAGATTGTACGAAGTTATTGAAAATGAACTTTATAGAAAGGAGACAGGAATTGGGAAGGTGTCATCCATTTTACCTGTGTTTAAGGAAGGGTCACATAGCCAAGTCATTTAACTGGGATATCAAGTGTGACGTTGGTAATTGTAAGGTTCTGCATAATTCATTGCTACATATTGATGGTGTTAATAACGGTGTAGTGAACTTATTTAAGGATTGGAACTCGTCGAAGGTTTGTTTGGGTGTTATTCCGGTCAGGCTGTATGGTACGCTATACAGAAGAGCGTAGTCTGGCCTAATCGAGTAGATTTTGGTTTGTCAGTCTGGCGTTCAAACCGAATACTCGAAGTTCGGTCGTTACTGTGCCTACATTGTAGTTCATGGCTTACATGGCCTGTCGTCTATTTGCACCAGCACGTCGTTACATGTAGAAAGCAGACATGAAGGTGATGGACGTTGCATCCGAGACTGAAAAGTGAGCAGTTGGCGTATGCGTACCATTGAGAGGGGCATCACTAATTTCCTGAAGTTATGCAGCCAAGTGACCCAGGAGTATATATCCTGGACCGTTGAAAAACGAGAAGTAGTACGACCGTCCCTCCATATACCTGGATATTGTACGTTTGTCACAAATAAAGAGGGCGTGTTGGAACAGCGCCACCACACAACACTATCTAATGAGCTATGGAACTTAAACATTATCCAGACGTAGACCTACAACCTCGTTAAACACACTTAATATAAGGAATGTGAATCTCTGGGGTGATAGTATGGTTCTCCATTAGTACACTCAACATGGCTACCAGAATGATGGACCTGATCACAAAATTGTGGATTTGCCATCATGTGACTACCTAACCTACAAGATCTTGCGTGGAAGTCACATCATTTTTCATACTGACTCGTCCTATAGTGGTGGTTGGCAACACGATATTTCTCACTTCCAAAGAACACGTTTGGGATGGGAACAGAATAGTATGTCAAATTGAAAATGAATAGGCTACAAAGTGGTTGCACTTGCATGGCTGAGTCATACCATTTCCATCCTACATTTCCGCGTTCACCACTTTTATGACGTTGTAGATCACCAACGTAGTTGATCTATGTCGAAATTATTGGACGCCTACTCGAGTTAGACATGAATGATGTGACAAACTAGCTAACGTCGAAGTCACACCTCGTGGTCAACGCTTTACGTGGACCACCTCATTGACGTATCAAGGTACCATAGATGCTTTGAAGACTGTAAAACACGGAGGGCGTTAATAGAGAAATATATTAGTTAAAGTAGATACAAGCGAAAGTAAGACCACTGCCACATGGAGCAGTTCATGGCATACGATTAACTGATGCGCGTTGGTTGTCCCTGACCTTGACGAGCATCAATTATGCGCTCGATATTCAATGACCTAACTGCCAGATGATTTGGCTAGGGCTTAGTGACATTTCGCTGGCCCTACAGTACTACCCCACCAGATTCAACTGTCGTTCGAGTCGGTACCAAACACGTTGGGAGTAGTTGCGCACCGTGGATTACCAAACG